CTTAACTGACATATAAGCTGATCCACGAGTATTCATATATTGTTGGAAAATAGTCCTTTGTTCACAAAAAAATAAAATAAAATAAAATAAAAATCCTCACTTTGTTTAGGGTTTTTTTTTTTTTTTTGAATTTTAAAAAATAAAATAAAATAAAATTCAAATATAATGATCCAATTTGGAGTCACAATATCAAGTCATTATACTAGATTGAATTGAGTTTAGAATTGCATTTAAATAAAATAATAAAATTAACCAATAAAATTCAAATCTAATGATTCAATAATTGTGAGTTTGAATTTTTTTTTCCTTTCTTTTTTACTACTCCATTTTCTTTGGTTTATCTGCTATCATAATTCTAGCTCTTTGTGAAAACATCATTTATCTAAATGTTTGAAAATTATAGAAATTAGTATTTTGAAATGGAGTTGTAATTTTATCGATTGGAGAGTCTCTTTTGATGTTTTTTTTTTCCAGAAAGTTGACAAACGTTTAGGGAAATTCTAAAATGAAATATGAAACTAACAAATTGTGACAATGAGAGTTAATTTTTTCAAAAAACTTGTGCAAGAATTTTTTTAAATACACTTGTTTGTGTTTACTTTGAACTACCAATAATTAAACCTTTTATTTTAGGCCAATGGCAACTCTGAGAAAAAATGCTGCCAAGACCAACAGTATTACAAGTTAACCTGTTGTTGCAATCATGTCATCAGAGTAAAGACATGTATCTAGGGACATCTAAAAGGAAAGAAAACAGGGTGTCGCCACCGTATCTATGTCATCTGCCTGCCTGTTGGAAGTAGCCGCAGAGAAGCTCACTGCCGGGAATCTATTAGCTCTTGCAAGTCTATAATGGCTTTATCAATTGCATAGATTATCATTTTCTTTATCTGTTCCACGTTATTAAAAAACAAGAAGAAAATGAGTTATGCGAAACAAAGTTGACATCATGTCATTGACGCTAAACTTTTTGTATCAGCGAAGGAGTTACCTCAAGTTTATCTTCTCTAGCTCTATGGTTCATTGGAAGTTGTCGGAATTGTTCAGTTAACCGGAGGCATTCGCTTATATTTTCAGGCGAGACGAAGTCTACAGCAACTTTTGTACAAGACTGCATGGTGGAAACAAAAGCAATTCAGATAGTGCTCAACAATACAAGACTTTCATACTTCTTAATGCTGATATATGCACAACAAAAGTTAACAAAAAATCCATAACCCAATATATATATATATATATATATATATAAAGTGAAGCACAAAAATTTATAACCAAATTTAATGCTGATATATGCAGAAAGTGAAGCTCAACTAGAAACAAACACAAACTGCTTGCAATCACAAAACTCAATTTAAGGTCCAAAACCTGTTTGTGGCATGTTGTATACTTTCTCACTTTCTCACGAGAGAAGGTTGTGTTAACTATATTACAGGATCTAAATCCTGTTTCCTACCTAGAATGCCCTTGATGTTAAGGAGGAGATTTTTATAAAACTAACACCAAGCCAAATTCTTATATTCTTTGTAAGATGAATATATTCATTTGTCTTTATATAATGCTCAAAGTTTTTCAGATGCTCTTTAAGTTTATAATTGCATCTTATCCTATTTGTCTATGAAAATATCTAAAATATTCAATCTGTTTTTTAATTAATTTTTTCAGTTAAATGTCTTTGATTACAATGCAAAACAAAACAAAATTTTAAAGACTTAAAAAATGAAACATGTAAATCATGTGACTTTAAGTGATTTTTTTTTTTTTTTTTTTGCATTTTTCGTAAAGGATATTTCAGTTAAAAAAATTATTTAACCAAAAAATTAAATGAAAAAACAGATTGAATACTTCAAATATTTTAGAAGACAAATGTGATGTAATTAAAAACCTAAAAACATATGAGAGACTTTAAGTGTTAGATAAAGAAAGATGAATATATTTATCTATTTTTTTATTATTTTAAATGCAAGCCTAGCAAAACCCTTTGTTTTTTTATTTTTAGAAATTTGTATGAGAAATCTTTTTTATGAATAAAAAAAGAAAACTAAAGATGAAAGTTGCAAAACGATCATTTGAAAGGTAATAAGATCAAAAAAATTATACATAAAAGAAAGTTATCCTTGAACATGTGATCTTCTTACACCATGTCTTCCCAATCAAATGTTCCATAAATAACTATTTTAGACCAACCTTAAATAAGTCACCCAACTATTCACTTCATCTTTTTATGTTTGATGGAAACTTAAAGGGTTGTACTTTTCTCAAACACCTTCAATTGATATTGGTTCCATGTCACATAAGATTAAATTTAATGACTAACAATTGTAAATATGTATAAACAAAAAGTACTAATGTGGCAAAACAATTAATAATATTTTTAGTCTGTGTGAAAAGTTGAAGACAATTTCTTTAAAACAAAAAAAATATATATATAGAAAAAATATATAAAATTCTCGATTGAGTTTCCAAAAATTTTTCTTGCTAGATTTTCAGAAAATCACACGTACCTAACATAGCTTACATAAGTCATGTTTTTGTTTTTCACAAAAAAAAAAAAAAAAAAAATGTCTCACTTTTTGTAGGATGCTTAGCGTTTTTTGTTAAAAATTTGTGAAGAGTTTAGACAAAAAACCCAACTAAAGTTGAATACTTTAGAAACCTAATTGAGAAAAATAAGTTCGATAATAGTTCAACGGACAAGTATTTTTTATGAATGCTCAGAATGTTAAAGGATACAAACATACTTTTATTAAATCTTTTATGAACTAATGTAATGTCTATCACGGAGAGAATTTTTTGCATCATGGTTAAAAGGATCTTAGTATTGCACTTAACATAAACATTAACGAATGCATTAAAAAAAAAAAAGCAAAAAGCTAAAAAAAAGGGCATCATTCTTAATATCTAAATGCATGATACTTCACAAAATCAAAAATAAATTACCATTTCTTTAAGATTAGAACCCAAATATAAAGTGCTCATGAAATCCCCACCCACTAAAATAAAAGTCTCCAAAGACAATTGAAGAGCTCCTCGACGTGATCTCCTCTGTGCGATCGAGTTTATGGTCATTCTTTGCCACTCATTTCTATAATGATGGCTTTCTTGCCAATGATCTTCCAACATCCTCCTCGTGTCATCACGAGAGATTCGCTATTTACTAAAAAAACACCTCAATTACTAACTAGTTTAGAAACGAGGCTTGGTTGTTGTTGTTGTTGCTGTAATCAGCACCATGATCAATGATAATCTTGAAATTGTGCAATGACGAGAGGGAGGTTTGCTTCGACCTCAACCAACGCTCTGTCCCACATCATCATTTTCCATCACCATCATTAGAACAAATTCTTAACTTGAAAAAAAGGACATAGGATAACCCTTCCCTTGAAATAAAACATTTTTACAGCCAACTGCCGAAACCTCCTTCGTATCGCCATCACCACCAATATCCTTCCCTTGAGATACTTTTTCAGTGTTTAATTGTGTTAATGAAATCTAGTAGTTGAATGCTACCAATGCCAAGCTTTCCTCACGGCATGTGATGCAGTCAATAACATACCATCCGAAAACGGTGAGTGTTTTCCTTATTTTCGAATTTTTTCCCTCTATCGATTGCAAAATGGCATACTTTGAAGCTTTTTCTAAGTTGACAAAGCATAGGAAAATATGAAAAACATTTTACAAAAGATTATTTCGGCAAAACCAATGGATCCTTAGGGAAAAAAGAAAAATCAAGAAGTAGAGCTAGAGGCTCCATCCAAAGAAAACAAGAAAAGTTATTTTAGGTGAGGCCAAAGAAGACAAGACACATAAATATGATTTGGTAGACCAAGTCTACACAATAACTTTTGCCATCGTCATTAAGTTAGAGAGAGGGGGCACCCTAGTTAAAGCATGAGAGAGGATGAGAAAAAAGTCATAGACTATGAGGTTTTCTTTCTGGGTGAACTAAACAAAAATTGATTCAATGGGTATTGGATCATGTCAATGTGGAGCCTAGTGGTGGGGAAAAAAAAAAATCCTAGACCAAGAGATTTTATGTCTATTATTGTGTTGATGCTGCTTAAATAGAGTTTTATTCTCTTGTCTTACCAAGAGTATCCAATTTGACTTTGCAGAAAACAATATGGTTAAGTAGTGAATGAGAGAAAACATCATTAGCTTCCAAATTGAAAGTGGTAGAAAATTCATTGAAGTTGGATTTTAATGAGAAAACAAGAAAGAAGAAACTCTGGCAATTGATGTTTTTTGGAATAAAATAGAAAAAGAAAATAAGAGAAATAATAATTTGACATTTTGATAATGATTGTATGTTGGAATTAAAATTAAAAAAAAAAAAGGAAAGAAAGCATTTTTGATAGACAAAGGAAATTTCTCAATATTTTTTTTGAAAAACCAATACACCACTTGTTTGAATGAAAACACAAGTGTTCTTGCTTGTTGTTTAGAAAAAGAGGAAAAATGCACAAAGTTTACTAACAATGTCAAAGACTGTTTGATGATATGGGTATCCAGAGACAGTTGCATTTTAACTGAGTAAACACCTCCCAGAAAATCTTAAAAACATAGCCTCAAGTCGGCCTGATGCATTAAAAGAAATTTAATAAACTCTCTTCAACGCTAGCCCTGAGTTTTGAACCTACAAAGTCAAGATGGGAGCAAACCTCCTTAACCACCAAGCCAAACCCCTTGGGGTTGTTTATGAAACTTTCAACTGCTTGTTTTGTCAACTTATTTTTGGAAGAAAAAAAAAATTGATGGAGATAAAATTGTGTCAGAACTGAGCTAGTTAACTATTATTGTGGAAAGTTGTGAAAGGGTGTCAGATGGGGGTTGTGAGAAATATCCTGCTTCGCTGTTAGTTAGAAGTTATCATCCGGACTCTAGATTATTTGTAGATGAGTCATGCAACACAGCATGAATTTTGCTTCGTGAATCACGGAACAAAATTATCACTTTGATTTGTGGGACCCACAGAAGTGGGGCCCACAACTAAATGGCGACTATTACTTTGTGTCACCATTCATGTTGTGCTTCTGTAAGAAAACACTTTTCCTTTGCACACAAGAAAAGGCAAATTAGTTTAACATGAAGAACTACAAAACCTTTTATGAATTTAGGAAGGGGAGAGAGAGTCTATGACGCACCCGAAGATTCCGTACTTGGTGTGGGCATCCAGCGGGTATAAATACAGCCTCTCCAACTCTTTGTTCAAATGTCCAAGCTTCAACTCCTAGTGCGTAAATGAATCAAAGTGATTAACAAACTAAACAGAATATATTGGACCCAAAATGTCAAAAGGAAATAAGACCAATGTTTTAGGATACGCACCATATTCCTCCTTCAATTTCCTTTTATGCTCCAAAGTTAAATAGAAACATTGGTCATGAATTGGATGAACGACCTACATGTAACCAGTTAATTTTCAGTACCAGTGACAAAGTACTAGCTGAAAAAAATAAAATAAAAAAAACAACCATAGAATCTACCTGTTCTACTGGGGTACAGTAAGTGTGCCTGAATTCTTTGAAGTGCTTTCTAAGATATTCCTCTAACTTGGGAACATCCTCCCTCCTGAAAATGTCCCATAAAGCGCCACCACCAGCTGTATCCACTGTCTCCCCTTCTGAGGGCAAACCAGAAAGTGCAGCTCCTCTTAACACATATTCAGAGTTCTCAAGTTTTTCATTACTTTTAGAGGGGTGCTTCTGTGGCTCTCTAATTTCTGAGAAATTTGTCTCTTCTTTCAAAATATCCTTTCCCTGATCAAATTCATTGTGAGGATTGTCTACCTTGTCTTGTTCTAACAGTTCCTTGTGATCCTGTGCCCTGTGCTTCCCTTTCAACAACTCAATGGCAGAGCGTTGTTCTTCACTTAATGCTACTTCGGCAGCATGTGTCAAAATATTCACCTACATCAGAGAACAATTTTTCCTCTCTTAGAAAAAAGAATGTATGGATGCATTAAAATGAAATCAACAAGTATAGATGATGTATTATGAACAATCAATGCATTCCAAGTTCTGGCCTACTGAATGCTAAGCACCTTAAGCTAAAATTGCTGCACATTATGCAAATTTAGACCACAAATTCAGAGGAAGTTGGCATCAAAATTGGAAGGGAATATTTTTGTTTCATAATAGACATTTGAGACATCAGCAAAAAAGTGCAATTCAAAGCACACCATCGCAGAAAGCTACAAATGACTCGTTACTTCATGCAAACAATAGTCAAATACTCAGACCATCAGCTTTCTTTGCCTAATATAGAACCTGATGCCCCCAGGTAAACAGCACATTCTACAACCGGAAGGCAAATTCTGTTCTCTCATCTTAAACTGAAAGGAACATATAATAAATTAAATTGGCAAACCTATGAATCCCTGTTACTTGTGGGATAGAGGACAAATTTGCTTGGAATGGTGGAAGCCCACTTAAATTTCGTCTTGGATATCAAGTTGTAAATAGTTAACAGAAATTTAAGCTTGGATAAATAACCGTTTTTGGCAAAAAGTAATTGCTCATCATTCAAATAACCATCTTTTACTACACAAAATAAAGTGTCAGATCTATCAGACATACCGCATCTGACATATCACAGTGAAGCTTGGTCACTGAGTCCCCTCTTCCAAGCTCTTCTCTTGTACCATATGCAATATACGTTTTTGGACCCAAGTCTGGTTTCAAGTTTTCCGCTGGAAACTTTACAGCTAAGTTTAGGATTCCAGCATTTGGATCACTGTATTCTTGAAATGGCAGTGCACTGATAAATTCGTCACAGTGGCGTGGCAAAAGATTTTCAAATTTATCAGATGGAGGCCAGTCCTTCAGCTTCAGCATCTCAGGCCAAAAGTTATGATATCTTCTCCCTTCCATATAGCCTTTAAAAAACTGCCGGGTATTAATCTCGACCTGAATATTTTTATAAAGTCAGCATTCTGCAAGTAATAGTAAAATCTAACAAGTTCAGTGTAAGAAATTCAGAAAGTATAACTATGCGTAGAACATATTTCTTTTCCAGCCCTCATAAAACAAAACACATGATTTTGCTCATTATGTCATGCAAATGGCTTTGATAAATGTTACTGGCTGATAAATTAAGTGCAAGGAAGGATAGTATAGCTACTAAACCTGGCAACAAGCAAGACAATCAATAGCCTTGACTTCAGACATCTTCGAACTAATATCTGAATCCACATTTTCACATAATGCACGCCACATGACCATCGGCTCCCAGCTCAAATGAGTTGTCTCCTCTAGAACATCACGAACTATAACTGGCTCACCTTTAACCCAATGCTTTTGGAAGTGAAAAAGTTCATCTTCAAGAATATCCTTTGAAGCAGGACAATACAAGTGATTGTCCTCAGATCCTTCCCTATAAGCTGCTCTTCTTAAGAGCCCTTCCCCTGTTTCATTACACTTGCACATCAAACTTGCCTGTTCAGTGTCACAAATTCCCAACAGTTCTTCTGCCTTCCTTTTCAACTCCGCAACCCGTCTCGGTGGAAGGAGACGCTTTAGCTCCAATACACAATCACCACAACCACCCATTTCATTTGAAGGGCAAGAAATGCTACCATCTTCTTTGGCATTCCATGGTAGAACCAGAGGCTCAATGTGGTCATAAAGGTTTTGGGAATGACAAGGTAGTGGATCTCCACCATGCATATAATCAAAGCCTCTATCTACAAACTGAAACTTCTTTTCAGCACGGCTTGCAAGGCTTCCCTTACGAATATCTCGACAACAACTGAGGCACAATTCATAAGCGCATTTTGGACAGCTGCGATGAAAGTCAACAATAGAAGTGGCACAGTGGTTGCTGCTCCACAATCCCCAAAAGAAATGCAGTGAATGAGCTTTGATTGAAGTTACTAAAATCAAGTGGTAATTACTTGTTCAGTGAAGAGAAGATGCTTACCAATATACACGCTCATCACTGTAGCAAAAGTTCTCAGCTATATCAAAATGGGAACCTGGTTGCCACAAACACATCAAAATTTTATCAGCAAAATGAAGTTTAACAGAACTCAAATAATCACATAGAATTCTGCCATATAAAACAAAAGATACCTCGAATACTGGCCTCAATCTGCATTTCTTCCGTTTGTTCTTTGCAGATTTGTTCCAGAAAAGGAAGCAGTGACTTGATCAAATAATGGAGATGCCGAACCTTTTCACTGCTGGTGATATCCCTTTTTGATGTCTGCAGATAAGAAACATGATGCACTATTTAGAAAATAGTAAAAAAATCCAATGCAAATTTCTGCAATAAAAGTACTCCAACAACTGCCAATATGTCCAGTATTTAACATTATGCAGCTTTTGCTGATTTCTTTTTTTTTTTTATAAAAAAACTTTTAACATCCTCACAGGTCACAAGCAAGGAGGGAAAAGAGCATGGAACCAACCTTAATCAACCCGCTTGAGTGCAAACACACATTGCAATTGCATTTTTTGCAACAAAATGGGCATCGTTTTGCAAACTGCCCCTCTGTCATCTCAGGATACCTATATACAGCAAAAGAGATGATGTAAAACCAAAAGAATATCTAAGTTCATCTAGCAAAACAAATCAGGTTGGCAAATACGATTGTCATTAGAAAATTTACCAGTGCTTGATGCACTGGATGCAGTACACTCTTTCACAATTCTTACAGAGGACAACAATTCTTCTTTCTTTTTTCATGCACTGATGGCATCTTTTGATTTCTTGTCCGTTGACCTGTTTGGAGCAACAAAAACTAGCATCATTCAGCTATAAAAATGAAATGCAGTATAAAAGGGGCCAGTCTCTCCAACAGATATGGGAACAGAAAGTATAACTCAATGCAGCACCCAAACAAATTGAAAGGGATTCAATACCTTTGCATTTCTCACTGTAGACATACCATTGCAATAACTATCGCGTTTTGAAACTGAAACGGATGAGCTAGAAGAAGCTGATGCCAAAGAAGAAGAAGAAGAAGAAGAAGAAGAAGAATTCACAGAACCAATATTTTTTTCTCTGGCCTCCTTCAGACTTCTCTCGTGTATCTCACTACCTGAATTCCTAGTCCTTTTTCGCTCTCTCATTTTTACAAGACAAATTGCTTCTAACGCATCCTCTTCTGAATCACCCTCAAAATATACACCTACAGAACAGTTTCTTCTACGCTTGTTTAAACCACTCTGCTGCCTCTTTGGAACCCCATTACTCTCCAAAAACTCAGATTCCGTAACTGGCTTCACCTTTTTAGATGAAACTTTTCTTCTCACTTGCAATGACCACTCATCATTTGACTTAATTTTCTTAGATGAGGTTTTGACTCTCATTGGAGGCAATTCACCATCACTCTCTGAAAATCCAACAACTGGGGCTAACTTAATGTTCTTAGATGAAGCTTGCCTTCTTGTTCCCAGACACTTTTGATCATCATTTTTTGACAATTCAATTTCTGGCGCTGGCTTCGTTTTCTTAGATGACGCTTTCCTTCTTGTTCCTGGACACCATTGTTCATCACTTTTCGACAATTCAATTTCTGAGGCTGGCATAGTTTTCTTAGATGAAGCTTTCCATCTTGCTCCTGAAAACTGCTCATCCTCACTTTTTGACAGTTCAATTTCTGGGGCTGGTTTAATTTCCTTGGACAGAGTTTTCCTTCTTTCCGAAGGTGAGCATTCATTGTCACTCTCTGAAAGTTCACTTTCCGGGGCTAATATCAGTTTCCTATTCAAACCTTTCTTTTTCCTTCGGGGCAACAAGTCGTCGTCATCATCACTCTCTGAAGACAACTGAATTACCTCCACTTTCTTATGCGATATCTTCTTTCTTGTCTTCAAAGCTACTACCTCATTGAATCTATTCTGCAAGGTTTTCTTAACTCTTTCCCTTGATTCGTGCCATGAAAAATTCCAGGCAGCTCGTTGAAATGTCCTAATTTTATTATCACCATCCCTATCAATCCTAGACTTAGCAATCATAGCAGCCATTTTCTGTCACTGCAAACAATATCAAACACAAAAAACCATCAATCTTTAGCTAAAGCATCAGAGCCCAAAATCTAAACCTTTCACTTCCTTTATACATAAAACAAAACCCCATCAAAAGAAAACAATCTCACTTTGCAAAATCTAAAACACTCTCTTTCTTTATTCATTATAAACACAAAACTAACTATAAATGAAAAAAAAAAAACCAAAAAAAAAACAAAAAGGGAACCAAATTCACAGTAACAGATAGAATAAATAAATAATAAAAGCTGCATTGACTTAACTCGAAGTCAAGTCAAGCTAACGCATCATAAAGGACAAAACGCCATAAACAGAAACACAAAAAAAATAAAACTGCAATCATAGAAACACAGAATTACTCATCCATACAAAAATTCCATCAAAACCCATAATTCTAATCTAATCCAATCCACCGAAAAAAAAAAAAACGAAAACAAAATCCATTACCATGATCATCAGAAGATCAACCATACAAAATCTAAATCTCTCTCTTTCTTTATTCGTTATAAAGACAAAATTAACTATGAATGGAAAAAAGAACAACTGAATCATATTCACAGTAACAAATAGACTGAAAAAAAAACAGCTGCATTGACTTGATTCGAAGTCAAGTCAAGCTAAAATATCATCAAAGACAAAACTCTATAAACAGAAACACAAAAATAATTGTAAATAAATAAACCTGAAATAATAGAACCACAGAATTACTCATCCATACAAAAATTCAATCAAAACCCATAATTCCAAATCCAATCAACCACAAAAAAAGAAAAAAGAAAAAAAAACATGGTAACAAAAACAGAATTCATAACCATGATCAGCCAAACATCAACTACAAAACGAAAAAAAAAAAAATTGAAACTAACCTGATCACCAAAAAGAAAAAACAATAAATCAGATTCTGCGTTTGTTTCCGGAACAAAAAAGTTGATGGCCTGTATTACTCTTAGGTGAAAGTGTATTTAGGCGTATAAGAGAAACAGAGTGCCTTGAGAGAAGGGAGAGAAAAACAAGGCGATGAATTTGTACTTTTTGCTGATAAAGATGAAGAAGAAGAGGAGACAAATTCTCTCTCTTCTTCTCTATTTAAAGAAAACAGAGGAAAAACAAAAAACAAGTGACGGATTCTTTCCCAATTCTATTAACGCACGCTGTTTTAGTGCTTTTTTTTTTCCCCTCTTTTTTCTTGACTTGACTTTTCAGGACCCGAAAAGTCCTACTAATAAATAAATAAATAATAGCAATAATCTTTTTATTATATTTTTAAAACTGATTATTTATTATTATTATTATTATTATTATTGCTTGTTTGTCTGTCGTTGTTGGGTAAGGTTTCGGCAATGAAGAGTGACGTGGACTTTTTGGGTAATGATGCATCGGAGTTTCCACTTTTTGGTTTGGGATGTTATCTAACAAGGCAAGTACAGTACTGCAATCGGGAGGAAATGAAATTTGAGGGACTGTATTTATAGAAATTTTCTAATCAAGTTTATGGGTTTCTTCTTTTTTACATTTTTATGTGGGCAGAAGATGAATATTCATAATAATAATAATAATGTATAAGCTTGGTTTTTTTTTCCTAAAATCAATTGAGTAATTTTGCTAATTTTATTAAGTTTCTTAATCATTTTTTTATATATAAATTGAATTAAAGATGAATTTGACCTAATATAAGGTTTTAATATCTGTCATAATTAATATTTACTCCTCATATTTGAAATGCAATAGAGACATTGATTTGGTGGGCTCGAAGCATCTTTCGTTTTTTATATAAAAAAAGTAATCGTTTAGTCTTTTAATATTTATTAACAAGTTGAAACAATTTAATAAAATTTTTTTTTCAATTCAAATTTGATTATCCAAATGTAAATGATGAGGCACAATCTTAAAAATAAAGAGCTATCTTTATTTCACTATTAATACTAATCTCACACAAATTGTGAGATGATTTTTCAACTTTTGCATCTTTTATAGATTTTTAATTTTTTTTTATCAAAACTCTTTCTTTTTCACACCACACAATACTTAAAAATTTATTTATTTGGATTTTGAGTACACATCCATCTACCATATGATTTACGTTTTGTTAGAATTGCACGATATTTCTTACACGTTTCTCGTTATTTATTTTCATTTTACTTGATTAGTTGATTATTATTTTTACAAATCACAATACTAAATTTTTGTATCTCAATGTGTCTATTAACTCATTATTTGATCAATTCTCAAGAATCCTTTCAGTAAAAATAATTAAGTTTTGTATAGATTTTTTACTATAAAAAAATAATTAAGTTTTATGTGTCTATCTCTCTTCTCAAAATGAGCCCATGAGGAAATCAGAGAGTGGTCCCTACTATCCCCACTGCCTTTGTCCAGCAAAATTTAGCATTAATTTGGCAAAGGATGACGTTAACGGGTGGGTGACTCTCTCTATCGATTAAATTACAAATTAGTCCCTCTTATTTTGCGAAATGTACTAATTAGACTTTTTAATTTCAAAAACTAAGCTTACAGTCTTTTTTAGCTATTTTTTATTTTAAGAAATAGAAAAAAAATTAAAAAAAAGTAAAAATATAAAAATATTTTATAAAATAAATAAATATTAAATTAATCAAATTCAATATTTATTAAAAATATTAAATAATTTATTCTTAAAACCACAAGAACCGAATTCGATTCTCGAAAGGAGAATAACTAATTTATAATTTACCCTCTCTCTCTATCAGTTTAGGTATATTCATTAATTTTATAAGATACTGAATTTAAAGATGGCTGGTGTTTCTTTAAATGAATTTATTATTTGCATGTTTCTTTTTTTACTAGAAATAAAATAACTTAATTGAATATTTCCAATTATAAATAATATTTAACTACTTTTAGGTTATTTTCATAAAACGAAAAAGGTTCACGTGTGCTCTCAGACAAAAAAAAAATTAATTATGATTAAAACTTTAAATTTTACATGTTTACGTATCAATATATGAAAAAAAAACAATTTAAAAAGCTTAATTATCAACGAATATAGTGATAATTGATTTATTTTACCTTAAATTTTATATATATATATATATATATATATATATATATATATATATATATATATATAAAGCAAATAAAATGTATTATTTCTCTAAGGAAAAAAAAAAAAAAAAGGATCCCTCTAATACTATGATATCTCTGATTGGATCCATAATCCATCACCAAAATAGATTTAAATGCTAAATTTTTTGAGATATATTTTTTTATTATCAAGAAATCTTCAGAGATCGTATTTTAAATCAATAAAAGTTTATTTAAATTCAAAAATAGAGATAGATAAACATGGGCAGAAGATCATAAGAATCCAAACTCTATCCAAATCAACCAATAGACCGGATTTTTCTCTTCATTTCCTTATTAAAGTGCCATTATTATTAATTTGGGAGATTAAATATTTATAAATTAATATTGATATATATTCCATTATTTAAGGGATTCATAAAATAAAACCTTGCGTGTCAAGGAACGGTTGCTGGATTTAAGGAATAATAAAACCTTGCGTGTCAAGGAATTGTTGCCTGGAAGTGCCAGTCACGAGAAGGACACGTGCCTAGCACCGTAGATACGTGGAAATCTGTGTAAAGTTTACAGCAACACGCAGCTGAAATTATTTTAGACGGATTTCTACAGTTTGTTGAGAAAATAATAAATAAATAATCCATTAATAAAAATTAGAGAGATTTAAAAATAAAAATAAAGAAACTATAGTTAGATGACTTCATTAATTAATTAAAATAATAAAATTTTCTGTATCAACCAATAAATATAATATTAATTTTTACCTAATTTAATGTATCCACCAATACATATAGAAATACTTTATTATAACCATCGGGGGTGACGCAGCGTCAAAGACTTGGTATCAAGGGATTTGCTCCTCTTGTGGTATCGGGTTTGAGTCCCGATTGTTTCCCTTAGTAGTCACTCTGGAAGTTTATATTGATCGTTAACTTCAAAACTTACAAAATTACTCGAAATACGTATAAACTGGCCCGGACATCGACATTATCAAAAAAGAAAAGAAAAGAAATACTTCATTATACTTTCATCAAATCATCAATATATATATCTATATATGCCTCTATAATACACACCTGCCAGAATTCAAACCCAAGTGTTGAATTAAAAAGTATTTATTATTTCTTTTCTTTTTTATTCCATATCTAGTATATCTTCTAATCAGATTACATTCAATTAAAACTATTTTTTTTCGTAGAGTATTTAAGAAAATAAATTTTCATAAATATTGATTTCAGTATTTGAATTTAAAAAGTTAAGAAAAATAATAAATCTATTTCACCTTCAAATCAACTCCTTGTAATAAATATATGAGTTTAGGTTGAATAATTGGTTAGTAAATCTAAAAGTTTATTTTAAAACAAATTATGAAGCTTGCAGTGAGAAATAAATCATAAAAACTTACTTCATGAGCAAATTGTGAGAAATTTACATCAAACGAGCTGCTTGCAAAACTTAAAATAATAATAATAATAATAATAATTAAGTTACATAGAAAAAAATAATTAAATAGATTGAAAGCTTGTAAAGAAAGCATGTAGATGAAATCGATAAATAAAACCGTAAAGAAACAATTTAAAGAGAAATAATTGTCTATCAAATTTCATTTGATGGATTTAATATATAATTAATAAGCATGTAATTGAACTTGTAAAAAACAATTTAAAGAAATTTCACTCATTTTCTAAGAAATTTTATAATAGAGCAGAGAGTAACTAGTAGCATTTACAATAGTTATTTCATGAGTCTATTTTGAAGAGAGAGATGGATACATAAAAAAAATAAAAATTACATCTATACCTATCAAAAGTGATAAAAAGATTTACACGTACGTTCAAATTTTTTTATTTTCTCTCTCCTGTTTTTCTCTTTTTTTTGTATGTCTATCTCGCTCCTTAAAGTGGATCCATAAAGTAATTACTATACATACCATTAGTTACTCTTTATGTATTATAAAATTTCTACTCATTTTCTACCTTCGAGTACGCTCTAATAAATCTACATTCGTCTTTGAAGTTTGAAGTGCCATTCATTGTCAAAAAAAATCCAGAAAGTTGATTCCTTGTCAGAAAATTTCACCCGGCCCTCCTCCTTCCTGTGCCCTCTATAGAACAAAGTACGTTACTCTTGACTTGCCTAATTTAGATGTCTCCTGACAATGAGATTTTGGCTTTGTAAGTTCATGTCATCCTTAAGGCTCTGCATGTTTCACTTCGTCGGGTAAAGCCAGTGAGGTTCCTCGGCTTACTGCCGGAGAATTTCTTTGCGATTGGCGTCTTGTAGGCACTAAAACACCCTCGCTATCAGATTCCAAATTTTCGCTCAGAGACTCGTCATAATCATCGTCGTCATCGTCTTTGAAAACTGGATGGACATACGCTTTCTGAAGGTAGGATCTGAGGTTGAAGTGTGGATAAGTTGCTCGTTCCAGGGTATCTTTCATCATTGCTTCCTGAAAACCAGAGTTCAAGACAAGATTACTAGCATGCAGCATTACGTAAAATCAACCCTGCATTACTACATAATAGCTTGAATTCATTTGACAAGCATCAGCAACAACGAAGCCTTAATCCTGAACTAGTTGGGGCCGGTTAGCGACCATTTGAGAAGCATCATAAAAGAAGAACTAAAAATCCTGACAGTATCAACTGTCTAGAAGTAGTCAAGAACATAGACATGTGCACAAGCTTTTTTGTGCCAAATTCTAGCATCAGGTAACCGTAACTCCATCTTGACGAATCTTAAAATACTTCCAGATTGATATAAGAAATGATAAGCATTATTAATGCGGATCAACGAGTTTTAAAATTCATGAAATCGTATGAGTGTAGTGAAAAAAAAATGGCTTAATTTTGAGGTTTTTTAAACCTAGTTCGATGTCAAACAAGTCAATAATCAAAACTCATGTGCTTTGCCCATTATCTATGAGTGATTTTGGTAAAAAAAAATATTGTTTAGGCCCTCAAAATCAGGTTTTAGTTTTTCTTTTTTTGGGATTTTTCTTTAATAATTTTGGATTTTTAGTGTTTGTTTTCTTTTTGAATTCCTTCAGCGTTTTGGGCGGAATTTACTATATAAATATGACTTTGAGGCTAAAAAACGCTATTTTTGCTTCACTAATAAAGTTTATGAGAGAATATCTCAGTTTTATTCTAATTTCTAGCATTGTTTAAATCAATGAAATTGAAGTCTATTTTCTGATATTTGTGTGCAATTCAATAAATTATAATAAACCGATATCTGAATTTTAGATCAACGGTAATTATCTTTCTTTTAGTGAGTTTCCGCTACGTCAATTATGTAGGCAAATCAATCGAAACAAATGATAGCGAAAGCAGCAAAACTACAATATTATGCACACACCTGCAATGGATATTTGGCAAATGCAGATTTGTAGCGGCCGTTGCAGAATATATGGAACCATATAGTGAGTACAGGAAGAGCAATGAGAAATGGCGTCGACTTGGAAGCTTGCTTTGTACTCAACAGTCCCATCAGAAGCAGCTGCGAGATTACTAACGCAGTGACAACACGCCCATGGACAGAAGGCCAGAACGCCGCACCACTTTCGTACTCTTGGTTGTAAACATTTATGATCTGCATAAATTTACAGAAAATATGAACATAAGAAGTCTGCAGATTGAACGTCATATAACCAGAAGGATCGAAGCTTGACCTGATGACGAAACACTACATATGCAAAGCCGAAGAAAATAACTACGAATGGAAGGAGGATAGGTGTGACTGTTGCATACACAAGCCCCAGCAGAAAATATAACTGAATACGCGGTTCGCCGGTGTCGAAACCAAGACTACCGGGATCCATTGCCTCCTGCCTGTCTTTTTCAGTCTTCACCAAAAAGAAATTCTTCAGGTGGAAAATTATCAGTGGTTTCAACATTAGAACTTCTCCAGCTATTCCAGCCCATCCGTCAACCATTATATAGGTTATGAAGAAAGTTGCTTTCATTGGAATAGCTACGCCAATTGTCTTGGGAATTCTGAGCAGAGGAAATGTGCAGGAAATACATGAACATATAAAGCTTTTCGATGAGATTATGGAGGAAATGCTGAAGGTATAATATGACTAAAACTGTCAGAATAACGTACTCGCTAGCAGACTGCTTGATAAACGAATCTAGCTGTTCGAACGCAGCCCCGGTGAGGATGCTTCCGAGGAACACATTGATGATGATGAAAATGTAATATCTCATTGCTGATCTCCTTTCCAAAGATGAAAGAGAGGTCAAGCCTTCAAATTTAGACATCATCATCAATATCGTCGGCAGGAAGATAAGAAAGAGCTTCAGCGCAATCCCAGGTAGAAATCCTTGGACAACTGATTTGATAAATTTTCTGTATAGAAAACAGTCAGCAATTTCTAAGAAGGGAATCCTGCAACTAAGTGATAAGGCATTGTGAAGAAAGAAAAGAAAACGCACATTTCAATAACTGGCTTCAAAAAGGGAATGCTTTTCTCAATTCCCTCAATACTTGCTAGAGATTGTACGAATGCAATAGGGATCATGAAAAAGAAAGCAAGAAAAAAGAATGAAACTCCAACTATCAGCCTTCTAACTGAGAGTGACACATATGGAATGGCTAGGTTTTCCCAATACACATCGCGTGGCTCAGGAGCCCACTCTGTTAGCCACAGAGTTGGGTCTCTTGACTGTTGAGTCTGTGCACATACGGCTGCACCCCATCGAGTCTTGAATGAAACAAATGCGGCCGGCATGATGGAGTTCGGATCATTCAGAACCTTTTCCCTTTCTTCTGCTATCTGAATAGTAGCAGAACCAATATCCATCGTACCAAATTAGATGATGGGAAATATGAAGCTTTACAGGAAATGATAAGTTCATATGCTTGCATTTTTGCAGAAGGTAGCCAAATTTATATACGTGCTCAAAAACAGCTAAACAGCTCAAACTTTTTGAATCGTTAGGGAATTTAGATAAGAAATTGAAGATAGGAACTTACTTCTTTCGACAGTTTCTCAATCTCCGATACATGATGGTCAATTGCATCCACTTTTGCCCCCCAGAGCCCATAAAAGCCAGTCTGAAACAGCAGAGGAAAGTAAAAATTGAGGCGAAAACTGAAATCGGGTTCAAGAAAAAGAAGTAGGCAGTTGATTTGGACATGAGGCAGTAGCTTCTTAAGATATATCAGAAAGCATTTTGAGAAGTACCTTCATCTGAGGCCTCTCTGATCGATTCCTGGCATACTTGTTTTGGTAGTAGTCAAGCCAGTTCTGTTTACTTTCCTTCTTCTTGACCAAGCTGGCTAGAAGGTTAGCATTGCACACCACCTGCATTAAAATTTTTATACTTTTTAATTCTATTGACAAAGTGAAACTTTTCAATCAATTAACTTCATAGTTTTGAGCAGGAACGCATACCTGATGAGAGAGATAATTATCTGGATGATTCACCAGAAAAAAGTGCTCCACGAGCTCACTAACAGATTCATCTGAATCCGGCGGTACATTCCTAACCAGCACCTGTCAAGAGCCAACCCAATGATACAAGTTTCTTGCGTAGAAGCAGGATACAGAAAAGCTGTTCTAATGGATAAACTAGAATTCGTACTAAAACAATCCTTGCCCAACTGAAAACAATATTCCACAAATGACATTTTACTTATGGAGACAGTGGAACAAACTTAAGATTGAGAAAAAAATTTCAGCTTACCGTGAATTGATCTGGTCGACGCTTTTCGGACGAAAGAAATTGCAACCTCATTGAAGCAACTTTCTCATACTCCCTTAGTAAGACATAGCATGTCCAAAAAGTAAAGGCATAAGCCATCACTATATGCGTCCAAAATCTGCAATGCAGGACTCAGCATCACTTTGCTGTAAGGTTTCCTTTAATGGATGAAGCAAAAGAACATAATTCTATGAACGAGCCAAATGACAGTTACATTGGCAAGAGATGGCTTCATACCTTTGTGATCCAAGTGGAATATTCGAAATCGAAAGCTTGTCGATATCGCTAGCAGTCACATTGGACACCATCTTTGCTGCCTCTAAAGCATCATTAGTATAATTAACCGGCACCAGGACAGCCCAGGCAAGGATAGTCATTGGAACAAAAATCTTAAGTCTGCATAAGTACATCACATACTCTTTTATCAACAAAAGAAGCACAGAAATGGAAAACATTAACATAGATCGGTATAACAGCATTACCCCATCAAGTAAATGCGCAAGTAAACTGCAGAATCCAATCCTGCATGATCAATAAGCTCAGGCTCCGGCATTTTCAGCGCTTCTGGCATCCAATTTAGAAACCGGAAATATGATCTAAAGTCTAAATTCACAAACCTGCTAACAAATGCCCCCGATCGCGAGGGACTGTTTCTCAAGCCCTTAAGATACCATTTCGGAAAGTAAACCCTATCATTGAAAGGTTGCAGCCTCAAAAATGCAAATAACAACAGGAAAATGACTGCACTAAGCAGATTTATAGCTGCTGAAACCCCTATATCTGCGAGTGTCGCCATTTATACCTTCAACAAGAAACCAAAAAAAAAAAAAAAAAGGATCAACAATCAATATATTTTCAACTAAAAACACAACAGAAGTGTTCTTTTACACCAAAGTTAACAACTTGTTTCCAATAAAATCTCAACAAATCGATTACTTTCTTTCGTACTTACAAAAAATAAAACATTCAAATCTAAACAAATCCCAATAGAAAATCAAATTAATCTCCAAATTCAACAACTTTTTCCATCTGGGGGTGAAATTTTAACAACTGTTTCCCATACTAGAACCCAAAAACATGTAAAAAAAAACAGAAACAAACGTTCGTCACGAAAAAGAAATCATACTTTGCTTATTGGTACCACTTATGGCAGATGGATGTTGATAGAACCTACAAAGAGAGATTCCGGTGTGGAATCAATCCTTGTGAGGTCAACAGGAAGCCAAAAATGGCAAATTCAAGGAAACAGATGATGCTGACAAATTATTGACAGAGAAGGAATAGAAGAGAAGGAGAAACCAGGCTGAGGATAAAGAGAGAAGATACGGAATATCACATTTCATTCACTTGGCAAAAAATGCTCCATAAAAGGAGGAATTCCTTCTCAAAATTGCTGGCATAGCTAATTGTGGAAGAGAGAGAGAATAACTGACTTCTCAACCTATGGCCAACACGTGGCTATTGCAATTCTTGCAACGGTCATATATAACGGTAATTCAAATTTTCAGAGTCTCTCTCTTCTTTTCTAATTACCCATTTCATTCTTCTCTACCTCTCCATTGCTAGACTTTGTGACAAATGTGAAGGTTAATAGCTCAATCTATATTTATATATTAAAAAAATTATTTAATCTTTAATTGAGTCAATTTTATCATTTAATAAACTTTAATTTTTCAATTAATCTTTTTGTCGAGATTTTCAAACAAAATTGCATGAATTATTCACGTAATTTACATATAACTAATTTTTATTCATAAAACCATTGCCAATTAGTCAAATAGAAGACTTTTATTTATAAATCATGTGACTAATTCCAGTGATTTAGCGTGAAAATCTTGTTAGAAGGATAATTAAATACTTAATGTATATTCAATGATAAAATTGTTTCAATTAAATATATAAGAACGAGATCAAAAAATTATTTTATTATATAACGGTTAATTGAGCATTAACGGTCCAAAAACAGAAAGTTTATTTGTTTATTAAAGTCTTGGTTTTCGTTTTTCATTTCAGGTGAAAGAATTGGAGAGTATAAATCAATTCATGAATTATGGTTGAGATTTCTTATCACTCTTCAAATTGCAGAAGGTTGAAGTTTTCCCATCTAATTAATTATCACTTAGATAACAATTAAGGTTGCATTTTGTCAAGGTTGTGTTAATTTCCATCGTACTTTTCAAGTTTAAAAAGAACTCTTTGAAACTTGAATATAAAATAAATTCGATTAATTAAAAGTTGAAACTATTTAGTAAGTCATTTATTTTTTTTCATATTATTACTTAATCCATAAATTTGTTTTTTTTTTTTTTGGTAGTTACAAAGAAGAGTTTGAACTTGAAATCTCGGCCGACAAATTGTAAGGTATCTTCTGAATTTGAGGAAAAAAAAAATTAAATACCCTTTGAATTAAAAAAAAAATTCCCGATTTTGCATTCTAAAGGAAATCACTTTTTTGTATTTGTTCATTCTCTTCAAATTTTATGGAGAAAATTGATGGAAAAACCCTTAAAAATCCTCTCAATTCCTCTCTTTACTCTTTTAGTAAGCAAGTTTTTCTAATTTATTTGAGAAAATGATAGAAATTTGCAGGATTTTTGTGGATTTTTTCATAAACTTCTCAATGGAACCCTAACAAAAGGGATAAATTTAAAAAATCATATTGTTTAAGGAGCAAAATTAAGGATTTTTTTTAGTTCATATGGTATTTGTTTTTCAAATTCAAGAAATATTTTAAAAGAAATAGTACATTTTAAAAGAAAAATGTAAAGCATCTCTCTTGTTTTATTTAGACACAAAAAACCCATGTCGTCTCCGATTGTATCTTGAGTTCAATCACTTAAAATTAAAGTAAAACTATTTTGATGGTTCGGTCAGCTATACACCAATATTTACAATGAATTTATTTATTTATTGTGTAATTTTTTATTACATAATTATATTAATTTTTGAATACTAGGAACAACCCAAACCAACATTCAGAAATTCACACAAGATTCACTTTTTACTACACTAATGTTTGAAGAGTCATTGTCAGAAGTTTCACCTGGTTCTTCTTCCTTTGCCCTCCTCTATAGAACAAACTTTGCTATCTTGACTCGTTTAATTTACAACATCATCACTGTCTCATGGCAATGGATCGTGTTGAATGCGTACAGCAGGGTATAGTCATGCACGTCATATTCAACGATTTCTGTTTTCATGGCTCTCCTTTTTTAACTGCCTCTGGTGAGGATCCCCCGCTAATTTTGCTTGGTACTGGTGTATTTTTTCGCGATAGGCGTTTTGTAGGCACTAAGACACTCTCAGTTTCCTCTTTTCCTCTCATATAGTCGTCTTCATCGTCATCGTCACCTTTGAAAACTGGATGAATATATGCACTCTGAAGGTAGGCTTTCACATTGAAGTTTGGTTCCCTTGATCGTTCCAGGGTATCTTTCATCATTGCTTCCTGAAAACCAGAGTTCAAGACAAGATTAGTAGTCTGCAGCTTTTGAGTCATTTTGCTCTAACCTGAGTAAACTTCTTCATCAGAACATCAATTAATCAAATAGCTTGAATTCACTCGAAAAGCATCATGATAGAGAAACTAAATTTCTTGATAGTATCAACCAACCGCCCAGAATCAGTCAAAAATAAAAAAAAGTAATCTGAGTTTGTAATGAACATTTTTTGTACCAAATGCTAGCATAAAGCAACTCTATCTTGACATATGTGAAAATAAATTCATAATTGCATGTAAGAATTTACCAGTATAATGCAGGCAAATCAATCGAGAGCAAACAAGTACAGAAAAATCAACACGGAACAAAAAGCATCAACTCCACAATATGCACACACCAACACACCTCTAATGGATATTTGACAAATGCTGATTTGTAGCGTCCTTCGCAGAACATATGGAACCATATAGTGAGTACAGGAAGAGCAATGAGAAATGGAGTTGACTGCGAAGCTCGTTTTGTACTCATCAGTCCCATCAGAGCCAGCTGTGAAATTACTAATGCAGCAATAACACGCCCATGGACATCAGGCCAGAATGCTGCACCACTTTCATACTCTTGGTTGTAAACATTTATGATCTGCATAGGAGTAAACATAAGAAAAAGATGAATACACGTGACCAAGGAAAAAGCATATTATAGAGCTACCAATAACCTTTTCAATTGTACGGAATCCTGGCATTGCACATCTTCTAAGTTGGATTAAACTGCAGGGTTTTAATCATTTAATTGACACAAGACATTAAGCATACACAATAGAATTGTCCTTAGATTGAACATCATATAACCAACAGTATCGAATATTTACCTGATGACGGAACACCACAAAGGCAAAGGCGAAGAAAATAATTATGAATGGAAGGAGAGCAGGTGTCACGGTTGCATACACAAGACCTAGCAGAAAATATAACTGTATACGGGGTTCGCCAGTGTCAAAGCCAAGACTGCCAGGATCCATCGCCTCTTCCCTGTCTTTTTCGGTCTTCACCAAAAAGAAATTCTTCAAGTGGTAGATTATAAGTGGTTTCAACATTAAAACTTCCCCAGCTATACCAGCCCATCCGTCAACCATTATATAGGTTATGAAGAAAGTTGCTTTCATTGGAACAGCTACACCAATTGTTTTAGGAATTCTGCCACATGCATAAATGAAGAAATGAGCAAATAAACAACATATATATTATATAAGACACTTAACGGAAGTTGTAGATGAGAAAATGAAAAACATATTAAAGTAGACCCTATGAGCTTCTTCTCAGGAAAGGGAAGAAACCATAAATAAACAGTCTATCAACTCAGTCTGGAATTGTAGATCAATGAAAAGTGAGATAAAAATAAATTATTGATGGGAGGATAAAAGAACTTACAGTAAATAAAATATAAGTAATCAGGCATCCTCTGAAGGCACATGCCATGAACACACTTTCACATATAGAGAAAAACATTCCAACTAAGCATTAAAACTACTGAAAATCTTTGGCTCTTACAGTATATAGTACCACTCATGCTAATGCAATCAAATTCCCTTAAATATGCATACACCCTAATAAAGAAATACTGAAGAAAATAAATATTTAATAAATATGCGAGAGTAACATACTCGTTAGCAGACTGCTTAATAAAAGAATTTAGCTGTTCAAATGCAGCCCCAGTGAGTATGCTCCCAAGGAATACATTGATAATGAGGAAAATATAGTATCTCGTTGCTGATCTCCTTTCCAAAGATGATAGAGACACGAAGCCTTCAAATTTAGACATGAACATCAATATTGTTGGCAGGAACATAAGGAAGAGCTTCAACGCAATTCCAGGAAGAAAACCTTGGATAACAGATTTGATAAATTTTCTGCATAATAAATAAAGAAACAATTAGTAATTTCTAACAAAGAAATCTTGAAACTAAGTTAGAAGGCACTGTGATGAAAGAAAGAAAACTTACATTTCAATAACAGGCTTCAGAAAAGGGGCTCTTTTCTCAATTCCCTCAATACTTGCTAGAGCTTGTACAGATGCAATGGGTATCATGAAAAAGAACGTAAGGAAAAAGAATGCAACTGCAATTATTAGCCTCCTAACTGAGAGTGACACGTATGGAATGGATAAGTTTTGCCAATATACATCCCGTGGCTCCGGAGCCCACTCTGTTAACCACAAAGTCGGATTTCTTGATTGTTGAGTTTGTGCACAAACAGCTGCACCCCATCGAGTCTTGAATGAAACAAATGCTGCTGGCATGATAGACTTTGGATCATTTAAAACCTTTTCCCTCTCTTCTTCTATCTGAACAATACCAGAACGATCCATGACCCAAGTTTGTATTTGGTGATGCAAATAGTATTTGGTAAGAATACACATCATCTCTAACTCAATTGAGTAAGCCTAAAACTAACTAATAAACTTCATGGACTTGATTTTTTAAAAAAGAGGTTGCCAGATTTATATGCTTAAAAATGACTAATATAACAAAAGGTTCAAACTTTTTGAAGATCAGGGAATTTAGATAAGAAATTGAAGCTCCGGGCTTACTTCTTTTGTCAGTTTCCAAATCTCTGATGTTTGATGATCAATTGCATCCACTTTTTCCCCACAAAGCCCAAGGAAACCAGTCTGAAACATCAAAGAACCATGAAAGTTGAGGTCAAAACTGAAAATTGGGCTTATGCAAAAGTAATAAGCAGTAGATTTAAACATGAGGCAGTAACTTCTTAATTATATCAGATTGCGTTTTGAGAACTACCTTCTTCTGAGGCCTCTGCAATTGATTCCTGGAGTACTTGAGTTGGTAGTAGTCAAGCCAGTTCTGCTTTGTTTTCTTCTTCTTGACCAAGCTGGCTAGTTTGTTTGCATTGCGCACCACCTGCATTAAAAATTTTATAAGACAAAGATTTACAAATTCAAGTACAAACTATCCTAGAATTTCAGGAGCATAAGAAAGTGCAAGGATTTATATAAATATTCCAACAAGTAAATAGTCCATTTAAAGCAACTCAATAGATCATGTGTGACACACATGTTGCCTCCTCAGGATACACATGTTGCCTCCTCAGCCAAGAAACCCTTTTCCCTATTCCTTGCTATTTAACCCAAGTAATGAAAAGCTAGAATGAGCTGCAATACTCACCTAATCAAGAAACTAGTAAGTGTTCTTAATGTGCAATAAAATTCCACATATCACCTCAAAAATATAACACATGATAACACATAGAGGTGGATATTCTTAGTTCAACAAATAAAAAATCCTAGTATTTCTTTTTTTTATCATTTTCCCGTGTCAGAAGACAAGAAATGCAAAGCAGTTTATTTGTGCAATTCTCTGTTAAATGGTTATTTAGAAAGAATGAAGTCTCTATTTCCTACAGGGAATGTCACACTGTTACACAGCCATAAATAGAAACAAGGAAATGTTGGCACTTAAAGCATTCAAACTTAAGGTTTACAACATTCCAAATCTGACAAACAACTCCTGGAACAACACTTTTTCAATTCAATGTCAATTCTGGGATAAAAATTGACACTTAACACAATTAACCTTTAAGATATGCAATAAACCATCAAAACCACCAGAGATAAAATTAGGACAAGAGCTTGAAAAGAATCAGTAATTGCTGAGGGGAGCAGTTTACTTATGGAAGTGGCAAGCATGTGCACATAAGGAAAAGCTATGATCAAATGCATACAAATGAATCCCCCATAATGTTACCAAAAATCAGTGAAGATATATAATTTGTCAAGTACCAGTACCACTCATTGATCCATATGATGCCCACCACAGACATTCTAACAAATAGTTTTCTATATTTTGCACAACAGAATGATGCGGACTATTCCATGATATCATCAATCAAATTCAGTGCTTTCTACCAAAGATTATTTACAATATAAATTCTGTTTGAGCAGGAACATACCTGATGAGTGAGATAATGATCTGGATGATTCACTAGAAAAAAGTGCTCCACAAGCTCACTGACAGTTTCATCTGGATCTGGAGGTACGTTCCTAACAAGCACCTGTGAAGAGTAAACTCAATGATACAAGGTTCTTGAATAGGAGAGGATAGAGAAAAATGGGTAGGTTAGAATTTGTACTGCAACGTCAGGCAAGATGAAATTGACTGTTAGACAAACAAACTCTGCCCAACCTTTTGAGGTCTAACAACCCCTTCCCATTTTGAAAATATTTCACAACTTGCATTTATTTTTTAAAATGGAAATAGAGGAACAAGCACAAGATTGAGGAAAAAAGTTTTAAAAAGAATAAATCAATATGGAAAATAGTTCATCTTACTGTGAATTGATCTGGACGACGACTTTCTGAGGAAAGAAATTGCAACCTCATTGAAGCAACTTTCTCATACTCCCTTAGTAACACGTAGCATGTCCAGAAAGTGAAGGCATAAGCCATCACTAAATGCGTCCAAAATCTGCAATGCAATTAATATATTATTGGGGTACACTGAAAAAGAAAATACAAGACAACACATCATTGTCTTATGAAAAAAACAATTATTATTATTATTATTTTTTTGATAAATGAGCAATTAATACACATTCTACAGATACAGAATAATTTATTCCTATAGATATCCATACAGTCATTATGCTAAGACAACATGGTAAAAGAATTGTGATCAATATATCTGAGTGCATCAATAATTCATCAACACTAGGAGATGACAAGGTAGAAGAATTTAGTAACGAAGGATTGCTTCATACCTTTGTGATTTAAGTGGTATATTGGAAATTGAAAGCTTGTCGATGTCACTAGCAGTCACATTAGACACCAGCTGGGCTACCTTTAGAGTATCATTGGTGTAATTGACTGGTACCAGGATAGCCCACGCAAGGAATGCTATAGGCACAAAAATTTTAAGCCTGCAAAAGTAACAAAAAGGTGCTCAGCGTATAACAACAAATGACAAACATTTTTAGAAACATATAGTTGTGAGAAGATGTTCAAAGGATAATAACAATATTTAGCCACACTTCCTTTCTAAAACCAACCCCATCATACTAAATCTCACCACCATTCTGAAACAGAAGCTTGACTAGACACATTAAAGCAAATATGCATATATCCATCTAGCAATAGAGGTATGACACGGTACAAACATACCCTTCGATTAACAAATAAACATAGGATAGAAATATGAACAAACAGAAATATTAACATAGACCAGTACAACAGCATTACCCCATCAAGTAAATGCGCAAGTAAACCGCAGAATCCAATCCTGCATGATCAACAAGCTCACGCTCTGGCATTTTAAGTGCTTCCGGCATCCAATTCAAAAACCGGATATATGATCTAAAGTCTAAATTCACAATCCTCCGAACAAACGCCCCTGAGCGCGAGGGACTGCTTCTTAAGCCCTTAAGATACCATTTTGGAAAGTAAACCCTATCATTGAAAGGTTGTAGCCTCAAAATTGCAAATGCCAATAGGAAAAGGAATGCACTCAGCAGATTTATAGCTGCCGAAACTGCTATATCTCCGAGCGTTGCCATTTTTGCCTTCACAAAAAACCAAAACAAAAAACCTTATCAATTACTTAACAAAACAGGAAACAAAAACCTTCTCAAAAACATAAAAAATCAACAACTTTTCAAGCAAATTTCAACACATAAAAAATTCAACTACTATATTTAACATCCAACAATTCCTTCTAGCGAAAAACACCCCTTTACATAAAAAGTGAAACAACTTTCCAAGTAGAATCTCAAAAAAATCATCTTTTTTTATACTAACAAAGCAAACCAGTCAAAATTAAACCAATCCTAAACAAACATGAAATTAATCTCCAAATTCAACAACTCTTTCCATCTCGGTCACAAATTTAACAACTATTTCACACACCAGAACCCAAAAAATAAAAATAAAAAAACAGGAAAAAAGAAATATCAACACAAAAAGTAAACAAGTAGAGCTAAAAAAAAAAACCATACTTTGCTTAAGATTAACCAACTTCTTCCCTTGTCTCCAATGCTATATTGACCTCTCAATCTTCAAAAAAGCTGAGAAAGTTGAACTAAGAAGTATTTGGATAACTTTTTAGCCTAATCCAAGTTAACAGCATTATTCCTCTTCTTTTCAGAGGATAAGTAGCTAGCACGCTACAATACACGCCTTCAAGAAGTAATTATTACTATTACAATAAACAAAGATAATAGAAGGTAAGGTCCAAAAATAGGAATATATAGCAGAAGAAGAGTAAAGAGATGAAGTCACAGTAAAGAAAAATGAAAATTGACAGTGAAATTTTCCCCTTCTGGCGGTGCCGATGTTAACGTTTTCGATTTGAGGCTATCTTTCTTGATAGCATTAGTAAAGTAGTGGGCTCTCTCTTTCAGCTCTATTTAAGATATGACAGTCACAAGTTGCAACTCATTCCATAATTTGTCACGTATGTTTCATTTCAGTCCTTAAACTACTGTTTTTTTGTATTTCTACCATCCAACGGTCCAATTTTCTCCCATCACGTGGCTGGTTTGTGGCGTCCCACTACTGTCCCATCACCATATGGCAACAAAAAACCTGTTTCGTAGATTTGTTTTTTTTTTTTGGCACATTCAGACCACATCAAGAAACAAAAATCTGTGTTTTTTATTTTAATTTTTTTATTGATTTCAATGTATTGATATATCTTTTGGTTGTCCGAATCCACCGTGAAATTCTGCATTATCATTTTAGACAACAATCGGTGTGGTCAATTCTTGTTTTATCTTTTTTTTTTTTTCAATTTTATTTTATGTAAAAAATATTGCGAATATCATCTACATTTCGTCTTCAAAATCTTTTCATTGAATATGCCGATTAACATGAAGTATAGTTGTACAAACCAATATTTAGAAATTCACAAAAAATCTACATTTTGTCTTTGATGTTTGAAGAGAGCCATTCATTGCCACAAAAATCCAGAACATGATTTCTTGCCAGAAGTTTCACCTGGTCCTTCTTCCTTTGCCATCCTCTACAGAACAAACTTCGCTATCTTGACTCGTTTAATTTACACCATCACCAGTGTCTCATGGCAATGGATCGTGCCGAATGTATAGCGAAAGGCGTAGTCATGCACATGTCATATTTACCGATTTCGGTTTTCATGGCTCTCCATTTTTAACTGCCTCCGGTGAGGATCCACCGCTGATTCTGCTTGGCACTGGTGTATTTTTTCGCGATTGGCGTTTTGTAGGCACTAAGACACTCTCGGTTTCTGCCTTTCCTCTCATATTGTCGTCTTCGTCGTCGTCGTCGTCAACTTTGAAAATTGGATGAACATATGCTCCCTGAAGGTAGGCTTTCAAATTAAAGTTTGGTTCCCTTGTTCTTTCCAGGGTATCTTTCATCATTGCTTCCTGAAAACCAGAGGTCAAGACAAGATTAGTTGTCTGCAGCTTTTGAGTCATTTTGCTCTAACCTAAGTAAACTCTTCATCAGAACATCAATTGATGAAATGGCTTATATTCACTTGAAAAGCATCATGATAGAGACTATATTTCTTGATAGTATCCAACCAACTGCCCAGAATTAGTCAAACATAAAAAAAAAAAAAAAAAAAAAGTAAGCTGAGTTTGTAATTAACATTTTTTGTACCAAATGGCATTAAGCAAATCTATCTTGACATATGCTAAAATAAATTCATAATTGCATATAAGAACATATCAGTATTATGCAGGCAAATCAATCTAAGAGCAAACAAGTACAGAAAAATCAAGACAGAACGAAAAGCAGCGACTCCACAATATGCACACACCAACACACCTCTAATGGATATTTGACAAATGCTGATTTGTAGCGTCCTTCGTAGATCCTATGGAACCATATAGTGAGTACAGGAAGAGCAACGAGAAATGGTGTTGACTGCGCAGCTTGTTTTGTACTCATCAGTCCCATCAAAGCCAGCTGCGAAATTACTAATGCAGTAATGACACGCACATGGACATCAGGCCAGAATGCTGCACCACTTTCATACGCTTGGTTGTAAACATTTATGATCTACATAGGTGCACACAAAGGAAAAATATGAATATACATGACCCAGGAAAAAGCTAATAATTGTGCAATAGGATTGTCCTTAGAATGAACATCAGTCATTATTAAGCATGCGCAATAGGATCCTCCTTAAAATGAACATCATATAACCAAAAGTATTGAATGTTTACCTGATGACGGAACACTACATAGGCGAAGGCGAAGAAAATAATTATGAATGGAAGGAGAACAGGTGTCACTGTTGCGTATACAAGACCTAGCAGAAAATATAATTGTATACGGGGTTCGCCAGAGTGAAACCCAAGACTGCCAGGATCCATAGCCTCTTCCCTGTCTTTTTCAGTCTTCACCAACAAGAAATTCTTCAAGTGGTAGATTATCAGTGGTTTCAACATTAAAACTTCTCCAGCAATTCCAGCCCATCCGTCAACCATTATATAGGTTATGAAGAAAGTTGCTTTCATTGGAACAGCTACACCAATTGTTTTAGGAATTCTGCCACATGCATAAATGAAGAAATAAGCAAACAAAAAAAAAAAGCATATATATATATATAACACTTAAATGGAAGATGTAGAAAACAAAATGCAAAAAAATATTAATGTAGACCCTATGAGCTTCGTCTCAGGAAGGGGAAGAAACCATGAATAAACAGTCTATCAACTCAGTCTGGAATTCTAGATCAATGAAAAGTGAGATAAAAAAAAATTATTGAAGGGAGGATAAAAAAAAATTACAGTAAATAAAATATAAGCAATTGGGCATCCTCTGAAGGCACATGCCATGAACACACTTTCACACAGAGAAAAAAATTCCAACTAAGCATTAAAACTACCGACAGTCTTTGGCTCTTACACTATATAGTACTGCTCAAGCTAATGCAATCAAATTCCCTTAAATATGCACACACACTAATAAAGAAAATACTGAAGAAAATATTTAATAAATACGTGAGAGTAACTTACTCGTTAGCAGACTGCTTAATAAAAGAATTTAGCTGTTCAAATGCGGCCCCAGTGAGTATGCTCCCAAGGAATACATTGATAATGAGGAAAATATAGTATCTCGTTGCTGATCTCCTTTCCAAAGATGATCGAGATGTGAAGCCTTCAAATTTAGACATGATCATCAATATTGTTGGAAGGAAGATGAGGAAGAGCTTCAATACAATTCCAGGAAGAAAACCTTGGATAACAGATTTGATAAATTTTCTGCAAAATGAATAAAGAAACAATTAGTAATTTCTGACAAAGAAATCTTGCAACTAAGTTAGAAGGCACGGTGATGAAAGAAAGAAAACTTACTTTTCAATAACGGCCTTAAGAAAAGGGGCTTTTTTCTCAATTCCCTCAATACTTGCTAGAGCTTGCACAGATGCAATAGGTATCATGAAAAAGAAGGTAAGGAAAAAGAATGCAACTCCAATTACCAGCCTCCTAACTGAGAGTGACACGTATGGAATGGCTAAATTTTGCCAATATACATCGCGCGGCTCTGGAGCCCACTCCGTTAACCACAAAGTCGGATTTCTTGATTGTTGAGTTTGTGCACAAACAGCTGCACCCCATCGAGTCTTGAATGAAACAAATGCTGCCGGCATGATAGACTTTGGATCATTTAATACCTTTTCCCTCTCTTCTCCTATCTGAACAATACCGGAACGATCCATGACCCAAGTTAGAATGGTGATGTAAATAGTATCTGGTAAGAATGTACAGCATCTCTAACTCATTTGAGTGAGCCTCAAACTAACTAATAAACTTCATGGACTTGCTTTTTTGAAAAAGAGGTTGCCAGATTTATATGCTTAAAATGACTAATAAAACAAGAGGTTCAACCTTTTGAAGATCAGGAAATTTAGGTAAGAAATTGAAGCTACGGGCTTACTTCTTTTGACAGTTTCTCAATCTCTGATATGTGATAATCGATTGCATCCACTTTTTGCCCCCAAAGCCCAAGGAAACCAGTCTGAAACATCAGAGAATCGTAAAAGTGGAGGTCAAAACTGAAAATTGGGTTTAGTCAAAATTAATGGGCAGTAGATTTGGACATGAGGCAGTAACTTCTTAAGTCGTATCAGATTGCATTTTGAGAACTACCTTCATCTGAGGCCTCTGCAATTGATTCCTGGAGTACTTGAGTTGGTAGTAGTCAAGCCAGTTCTGCTTTTTCTTCTTCTTCTTGACCAAGCTGGCTAGTTTGTTTGCATTGCACACAACCTGCATTAAAATTTTCATAAGACAAAGATTTACAAATTCAAGGACAAACTATCCTAGAACTTCAGGTGCATAAGAAAGTGCAAGGATTTATATAAATATTCCAACAAGTAAATAGTAAACATGTTGCCTCCTCGTTTTTCCCTATCCCTTGCTATTTAGCCCAAATAATGAAAAGCTTAGATGAGCTGCAACACTCACTTAATCAAGAAAATAGTAAGTGTTTTTTTATGCGCAATAACACATTCCACAAATCACCCCAGCAATACAACATATGATAACACACAGAGGTTCACAATCTTAGTTCAACAAATAAAAAATCCAAGTATATCTTTTTTTATCATTTTGCTGTGTCGAAAGACAAGAAATGCAAAGTAGTTTATTGGTGCAATTCTCTGTTAAATGTTTATCTAGAAAGAATGAAGTCTCTATTTCCTACAGGGACTTCTAACAAATGTTTCTCTATGACGTTGACTATTCCATGATATCATCAATCAAATTCATTGCTTTCTACCAAAGATTATTTACAATATAAATTCTGTTTGAGCAGCAAGATACCTGATGGGTGAGATAATGATCTGGATGATTCACTAGAAAAAAGTGCTCCACAAGCTCACTGACAGTTTCATCTGGATCTGGAGGCACGTTCCTAACAAGCACCTGTGAAGATTAAACTAAATGATACAAGGTTCTTGAATAGGAGAGGATAGAGAAAAATTGGTAGGCTAGAATTTGTACTGCAACGTCAGGCAAGATGAAAATGACTGTTAGACAAACAAACTCTGCCCAACCTTTTGAGGTCTAACAACCCCTGCCCATTTTGAAAATATTTCACGACTGGCATTTATTTTTTATAATGGAAATAGAGGAACAAGCACAAGATTGAGGAAAAAAGTTATAAAAAGAATAAATCAATAAGGAAAATAGTTCATCTTACTGTGAATTGATCTGGACGACGACTTTCTGAAGAAAGAAATTGCAACCTCAAGGAAGCAACTTTCTCATACTCCCTTAGTAACACGTAGCACGTCCAGAAAGTGAAGGCATAAGCCATCACTAAATGCGTCCAAAATCTGCAACGCAATTCATATAAATATTGGGGTACACTGAAAAAGAAATTACAGGACACAACACGATTGTCTTATGGAAAAAGCAATTACTCTTGTTTTTTGATAAATGAGCAATTAATAAACATTCTACAGATATCCGTAAAGGGTCATTATGCTAGATAACATAGTAAAGGAATTGTGATCGATATATCTGAATACATCAATGAAGGATGGCTTCTTACCTTTGTGATTGAAGCGGTATATTGGAAATTGAAAGCTTGTCGATGTTACTAGCAGTCACATTAGACACCAGCTCGGCTACCTCTAAAACATTATTGGTGTAATTAACTGGTATCAGGATAGCCCAGGCAAGGAATGTTATAGGCACAAAAATTTTGAGTCTGCATAAGAAACAAAAAAGAACTTAGCGTAAGCTAACAGATAGACAACTATTTTCAGAAACATATAGTTGCGAGAAGATGTTCAAAGGATACTAACAATATTTAGCCAAACTTCCTTTTTAAAACCAGCTCCAACACACTAAAACTCACTACCATTTGGAAAGAGAAGTTTGACCAGACACCATTAAAGCACATATGCATATATCCATCTAGCAATAGAGGTATGACATGGTAAAGCACATACCTTTTGATCATTAAATAAGCATAGGAATGGAAAGATAAACGAACAGAAACGTTAACATAGACCAGTACAACAGCATTACCCCATCAAGTAAATGCGCAAGTAAACTGCAGAATCCAATCCTGCGTGATCGATAAGCTCAGGCTCTGGCATTTTAAGTGCTTCAGGCATCCAGTTCAAAAACCGGGCATATGATCTAAAGTCTAAGTTCACAATCCTCCGAACAAACGCTCCCGAGTGCGAGGGACTGCTTCTTAAGCCCATAAGATACCATTTTGGAAAGTAAACCCTATCGTTGAAAGGTTGTAGCCTCAAAATGGCAAATGCCAATAGGAAAACGAATGCACTCAGTAGATTTATAGCTGCCGAAACCGATATATCTGCAAGCGTTGCCATTTTTACCTTCACAAAAAACCAAAACAAAAACCTTATCAATTACATAACAAAAAAGGAAACAAAAACCATATCAAAAACATAAAGAATCAACAACTTTTCAACAAAATTTCAACACATATAAGAAATTCAAACTCTATATTTGACATCCAACAATTCCTTTTAGTGAAAAACACCCTTTTAGAAAAAAAGTTGACAACTTTCCAATTAAAATCTCAAAAAGACAATCTTTTTCATACTTACAAAGCAAATCAGTCAAAATTAAACCAATCCAAATCAAACATGAAATTAATATCCAAATGCAACAACTCTTTCCATCTGCGTCACAAATTTAACAACTATATCACACACCAGAACCCAAAAAACATATTCAAAGAACAAAAAAAATATCAACACAACAAAAGGTAAACAAAAAGAGGTAAAAACACATACTTTGCTTTCAATTAACCAACTTCTTTCCTTATCTCCAATGCTATATTGACCTCTCAATCTTCAAAAAAGCTGAGAAAGTTGGAACTAAGAAGTATTTGGATAACTTTTTAGCTTAATCCAAGTTTACAGCATTATTCCTCTTCTTTTGAGAGTATAAGCAGCTAGCACGCTCCCATACACGCCTTCAAGAAGTAATTATTATTATAATAAATGAAGATAATAAAAGGTAAGGTTCAAAAATGGGAATATATAGCAGAAGAAGATGAAGATGATGAAGAAGACAGATTAAGGTTCAAAAATGGGAATATATAACAGGAGAAGATGATGAAGAAGACAGAGTAAAGCAAAATAGACAATGGACAACGAAAATTTCCACTTCAGGTTGTTTTGGTGTCAACGATTTCGATTCGAGGCTACTTATAGAATTAATAAAGTTTTGCTTTCATTTTCAGCTCGACTCAGGAAATAAGAGTTACAGCTCAGTACTGAGTTTATCAAGGCTTTTCATTTCAGTCCATAACTACTGATTTTTGTACTTTTACCATCCAACGGTCCAAGTTTCTCCCGTCAAATTTTGATGTGCCTGGTTTGTGACCTTCCCATCACCATATGCTAACTTTTTTTTTTTTCCGAATACCAAGTGGAAGTAGCAATTTTTTAATCTTGAAAAGAGCTTTATGTCATGCATTAACAGTATTTTGGAATAAAAAAATAAAATATTTATGAGAAAAAAGGAAGACAAGATAGTTAAGAGAGAAAGATCTTTAAAGGGTAGATCTATTCTTTTTAGATTATTTGGGATGGAAGAAACACATGAGAGTATTAAAAGAGAAAAAAAAAAACAATTATAGTAGGTTTTGAATTCTAAATAATTAGTACCATCAAAAAGAAATAAATAATTTAAGATGGATGATTTAGAGAAAGGGATTTAGTTGTTTAAGTAAGTGATTTTGAATTCAAATATTTGTATATGAAAAAAAAAATTTCGGATAAGTTGTTCTCGTTTTATACGCCTAACAAAATAATAATAAATAACGAACAATTAGTCTGAATATTTGGATTTGAGATATGAAAGATCAAAAAAACAAAAAGAATATTGTTGGATCAGTTAGATTATTGTTTTTTTTAGTTAAACAAAGATTTAAAACTCAAATAAAATTAATTAATAAGTTTTAGTTTCTATAAAATGAAATAAATTTTTAAAAATAATTTTTTTCATGTTATAGAACTATGAATCAATTGAATTTTGGTGCTCAAAATTTAATCACATCTCAAGCTCTTAAAAATTGACCAAATTCACTAGTGTTTCTTTTTTGAACTTGATTGTTAGTTTAATGACCATTGTATGCTAAAATTGCAGGAAGTTAAAATTAGGGGACTTAAATGAAATTTTAGAGAGAAACAAAGGACAACTTAATTAAGACAAATAGTATTATTTTATCTCTTACATAGAAGCGTCTTCGGAGATGTCGGCAAGTTGCCAGGTGGTATTTCTAACGGCTACTTTGTGGATTTTGAGCGAAAAAGTTCATATCCTTTCACGCGCTTCTTTGAAGGTGTTTTTCACGATCCAATCAAAATGGTGATTAGTGGGATTGGTAAGATAATGGAAGGGAGGTTGTGTATTTGATCACCCTACTTTGAATTTTATTTCATTTTAGTCTTTGTACTGTCTTTTGCTTTAATATAACCCCTGAACTTCATATTTATGGAATCATTCAATTTCTCAATCATCTGTCACTATAGATCATCATAGCTAAAAGATTTGAAAAAAAACATCACGTCTTAGTAAAATAATATTATGTGAAAAAATCTTTTTATATGTTCATAGATATCATAATATAATATGAACATATGTTGGTAGTATTAATTGTATTTTTAAATAAATTTTTTCTGTTACAATTTTTTTATTGCCATTTTTTTCTTTTTAATTACTCTTTTTTATCTAAGATTTTTTTTTTAAACATATGTCAACAAATAATAACGACATCTATATGCAATAATTTTTTTTACCTAATCTTAATTATATAAAATTATTTTCCTTATTATTTTGATACAATGTATATAATTAAAAACAAATAGTCACAACTAATTTAAAAAAAAATTCAATTAATTAAAAAAAATGTAAAATTGATTGCAGAACCGTTCCTCTTGCCATGTAAAAAGCAAATGACTGAAAAAATTGGCATAAGAACTATTTTCTTAAAATTCATGGCCATCTTGACAATATGAGCCTATTTCCAACCACAATTAAACTTCGGGAGCAAAAATGACAGATTAGTACAAAACAGAGAATACACTCAACATAAGGATGATACTAAAATTAAAAATTGTAATAGAACCAAATTAAAATATAATTGAAATTATAAGGACCAAATGCACCCTCATGTGACAATATTGATGGAGTGCTGCGCGGATAAAGTGTGAATTGCGTGTGTGCTTCGAGATTAGGGAGACAGCCAGCGGTGAGTTGGGGATGACGGCCTTTGGAATTTAGTAAATGCTGTCTTAATACGATTACAACCGTTTTACTATGCATCGATTTTGACCCAATTTATTATTATTTTTTTAATATTTTTTGTGTCTACACAATTATTTTATTTTAATTTGCACTTGCGCTTGAGTAAACTATAAACTAGTTATTCTATTTTTTAAAAAAATAAAACAAAAAGGCTTTTTCAGTTTTAAAATTAATTAATTAATTAGTTTCAATATTTTTAAAATTATTTATAACTTAATATTTTTTGTTTTTTTCAGTTATTTTTTAATACATAGAAAAATAAAAAATAAATATAAAAATATAACAATATTGATGAGAAAATAATATATTTTAGAAATAAAATAATATTAAATTAATTATTATCATCACTTGTTAAGAGACTGATTAATTATTTTTTTTAAATAAGAGAATATTTAATTTATTTTGCAAAACTAAAGAGAGTAATAAATTTTTTTTTTTTTTTTGCAGCTAATGATGTTTTGGGATTTTTGGTGTACTGTGAAAGAGTTTGTATTTTTTGTAGAGTTAAAAAGAGGCAATTGAAGTTAAAATTATAAATTTTATAAGATTCCTTTTGATCATTGAATTGAAAGGTTTTTTATTTTTTTAGAAATAGGGTCGGGGTGTGTGTCAAATGAAAGAAACACTACTTATTCATTTACTCTAAAATATATATATATATATATATATATATATATATATATATATATATATATATACATGTAAATTATAAATTAGCTCCTCTATTTTTTAGGAAAAAAAAACTCACCTGTTGCAAAAATTAATATAATATTATTTTATTTCATAAAATATATTTTTTCATCAATTCTTTCATTTTTTTTTATTTTTATCTTTTAAAACAAAAAATAAAAATAAATTGAAAAGGAGAAAAAGTGATTGAGTTACAAGAAAAATTTAAAATTTAAAGATTAAATAATTAGTTTTTAAAATAAGAGGGATTGATTAATTTTTAAAAAAAACTAATGGACTAATTTATAATTTACTTTAATCGTGTATTTGATTTAATGTATGTCAGCTATTTGACTGTGATGATTAAATTTGTGACTTGTGAATTATGAATTTTGAATAATATTGAGAATGGTAATTTAAAATAGGGTCTTTTTGTCGGGTTGGCAGATTACAAGTCAAAATTTGAGGATTAGGCCGAAAACAACTTTGATTTTTTCAAACCAAAAAGACAAATGAAATTCAAGGTGTAAAAGTTTAGGAGATATTTCTATTACTAAATTTATAGACCTCGTACGTTAAGGTACATTTAAAGTATCATACACATACGAGCATGTTAGTATGCATGCTCATGTACTCACACGTGTTTATATATATATATATATATATATATATATATATATATATATATATATTTGTCATTTTTCAATTTGTTGTTAAATTCTTAATTGAATCAATTTATTCTTAAATATATGTGTGTTATAAAATAATGAATTTCCATATGAATATCTATCTATTTTTCATATCCCCACTACCCATGATCCTTAATGTGATTTAATTCATCATTCAATATGAGAAATTGCAAGGGTGATGCAATTGATGTACTTTTAATTATTCATAGTCCATTCCAATTCTCATCTCAATTTTGAGGCCTATAAATAGGCTTGATTATTCATTTGTTGATGTACAAGTTTCCTAGAAAGAATAAGAGAAACTTTGAAGTTCTTATCACTTATATTCATATTATAGTGATTTCATTTTCTTGTCATCCTTTTCTTCAATTCTCCTATTATTTCTATTTATTTTATAACAATGTGAATTTTATAATCTATTATTTTGTTAAAATTTTTTAATCATTTGTCGAATTATTCATATGATTTATATATAATTAATTTTTATTTTCAAAATACTCTTACAATCCAATCAAATAAAATATTCCTTCGCAAATTAAGTGATTTATTATGATAGTTTAACTTAAAAATATTATCGAACTATTAGGCACTAACGTATATTAAAGATAAAATTATTTCAATTCGAGATATAAAAACAGATTAAGAATTATTTTATTATATAAGAATATATCGAAGCATTAACTTTATATATGTATGGTTAATTTAATTAGGGAATGTAATATGATTAATTCTATATGGTCACCCAATATATTTTTAGGAGGAAAATTATGAAATCTCAATCGAAAATGGAGGTGATGGGAGCACACGATCAAGATGGTGGGCGATCCGTGTATGGTTGGTGTCAGGGAAGGAAAAAAAATGGATTGAAAGCAGAAAGATCATAACTTGTGACTGAATACTGTTCCTACTCATGAATTTTTCATTTAAAAACAGAATTAAATCCCACGTGAGAAGATTCAGTCAAGTAATTGAAGTTTTTTGTTGTTAGAGTGAAGCCAATTATATATTAGTTCTTTTATTTTCAAAAAATGAATTAATTAGTCCTTCTTATTTTTAAAATTAATTATTTAGTCATTTGATCAATATTAATTATATTTAGTTTTATATTATTTTATTTAAAAATATTATTTTTTTTCTTTTCAATTCTTCCGTTTTACTTTTATTTTTTAAAACAAAAAAATAAAATAAATTGAAAAAATGATTAATTAAAAACTTGAAAAAAATGCAGGGACTACATAAATAGTTTTCGAAACAATAATAACTAATTAATTCATTTTTCAAAAATAAAGGGATTATTTTATAATTTACACGTTGGATTTCAATATTCATGTTTTAATTCAATAATTCTTGAGAAAGGGTCCATCATTCTTTGCCGACTAGCCTGCCATGTTGATCTTAAGCATTGTGGACCAAATGTGCCCCCATAGACTGATAATAACTAGCTAGGAAGGCCATTCTTCCAAGGAAAGAAAAAAAAAAAAAGACAGAGGAAAAAGTAGTTAGGAAGTTGATGGGGTGGTTGCAAAATAATAGTAGTGCAAAATAATTTTTATGAATATATTAATACGAGTATATATAGTTTGTTTAAAATTCGAGTATAAAATAATTTAATTTCGATACATAAAAGTTTATTTGAGAAAAAAATTAACCGTCTAAATTAAAGAAAATAGAACAAAAATGTTGAAGTTCAAATAATAGATGAACAAACACAACTAATAAGTTGATTTGTTTTTTTACGTTAGAGTTTTGAGTTTGATAAAAAAGAAATTTTTTGTTCAGATTAAGGAAGAAAGCTTTTAATTTCAATATATAAAAACTTATTCAAACATATCTTTATCATTTTTTTTTAAATTGCTAGTATTAGGTTTATTGGTCTTATATTGCTAATTATTGTTCATAGGGTTTTGCACGTATCAAAACTCGTACAATTTAAATTTTTTTAATTGAGATTCTAATTTTTTTATTTAATTTAAGAGTTATATTATTATATTATTATTATTTCGAACCCTAATATGTTATGTAAGCATACATTGTAAGCTCTAGTTAATGATTGCTTGTCATGTGTTATGGTAGCGGATGATTGAAGTAATGACGTAGTAAGTTGTCATTGACTAAAACACGCATGTGACAAGTTATTATTGCTTAGAGTCTGAAACAAAGATATCATAAAAATAAAGCTGTTAAATTATATATATTTTTTAAGATCTCAGTAAAAAAATTTCTGAATTATACAGAGTAAAATCCATTGTTTATATACGTATATATATGGAACCAACAAACTGTTATCATAGACATTTAAAGCAAGAAGTACGAAGAAAGCAGAGAGGTTTTCAGTTTTATGAAGTACTTTTGTGGCCCATCTCCATTTTTGTTTTTTAGCAACTTGGGGGAACATGTCGTCATTTTTGGCACAATCATTTCATGGAAGGAGTTGGAAACAATGTATCCAAGACTCCACTTGCTTAAAATCATCTCTTAGTAAAAAATGCATGTATAGTGAAACTATATATATATATATATATATATATATATATAATAGTTAGTTTTTGTCAAAAAGAAAAATAACAATTGATTTTTTAAAATTTGAACACCTAATTAAATAAAAAAGATATATAAATTGATGGAGAAAAGCAAAGAAATATATAAATGTAAAAATTATCATATATATTATATAATAGTCAATTTGTGTAAAAACAATAATGATTGATTTTTTAAAATTTTAACACCTAATTAAACACAAAAAAAACATAAATTGATGAAAAAAAATTGATTTTTCAAAATTTTAACACCTAATTAAATAAAAAAAGAACATTAATTGATGAAAAAAAGCAAAGAAAAAAAAACCATGTGTAGAGTATTAGTTAGCGGATTAAAATTTTTATTTTAAAATTTTAGAGATTAAAATAAAACGAATCTGAAAATTTTTAAAAATTAAAGAAAAAAGAACTTAAATTGATGAAAAAAAAAAGCAAAGGGGGAAAAAAATAAAAAAACATGTATAGTGAAACTAAACTAAAAAAAAAAAAAGAAAAAAGAAAACACTTGCTACAGGAATCAGTGAAACTAAAATACTTAAAAAAAAGGAAAAAAAAAAAAAAAAAAACAAACCTTGCTTGTAAAAAGTAGAGGAAAGGCCGGGAGAGGAGAAAAACAAAACACAGTAAAGTGTTTTTGGGGTATTAAGTAAACCCAGAAAAGAAGAACAACCGAAAAAAATAAAGGCAGCCGGAGAAAATCAGAATCATATGCGTCTACCGGGAATCGAACCCCGGCTTTGTTGTTTGGCAACCAATTAACCTAACCGTTTGACTACAAATGCTTTGTTGTAACTTAAATTATTAAATAGTTATATAAACAAATAACAAAGAGGTGAACAGCCAACAGTCAGAACCCCACGTCTTTTAGATATATAGTAACTTGTTCAACCATCATTCTTTGCCAGTATCGACTGCACTTAATATAATATTATTTTACTTCATAAAATATATATTTTTCATCAATTTTTTAATATATTTTTTTCATTTTTTTATCTCTTAAAATAAAAAATAAAAATAAATTGAAAAGGAGAAAAAGTGATTAAGTTACCAAAAATTTTTAAAATTTAGTGTTTCATTATTTAATTTTAAAACAAGAAGGATTAATTTATTTATTTTTTAAAATTGGGTAGACCAATTTATAAGTTACGCTAGCCATGTATTGATTTCATGTGTGTCAGCTATTTGACTGCAATGACTGAATTTGTGATGTGTGAATTATGAATTTTGAAGAATATTGAGAATTAAAAAAAAAAAAAAGAATATTGAGAATCGTAATTTAATATGGTGTCCTTTTTATTGGGCTGAGAGATTACAAGTCAAAACTTGAGGATTAGGCCGAAAACGACTTTAATTTTTTCAAACCAATAACAAATGAAAAAAAGTTTAGGAGATATAATAATAATAATAATAATGTAATTTTTCAATCTATTATTAAATCTTTAATTGAATTAATTTTTTTTTAAATATATGTAAACTTTTTAATATATCATTTTGTCAAGATTTTCGGGTCATCTATCGGAATTATTCATGTGATTTGCATATAGTTATTTTTTATTTTCAAAATACTCTCATGAGCTAATTAAATAAAATATTTTTTATGCGAATTAAGTGATTAATTACGATAGTTTCATTTGAAAATATTGTCAAAAATGTAAATCGGGCACTTATGTATATTAAAGATAAAATTATTTCAATTCGGATATAAAAACAGATCAACAATTATCTTATTATATAAAAATATATTGAGGTATTAACTTTTATATATATATATGTGTGTGTGTGGTTAATATAATTAGTGAATGTAATATACTCACCGGATATTATTTTAGGACAAAAGTTATGAAATCTCAATTGAAAGAGAAAATGGAAGTGATGGGAGCACACGATCAAGATGGTGGGCAATCCGTGTGTGGTTGGTGTCAAGGAGGGAAAAAAAAAAAAAAAGGATAAAAAGCAGAAAGATTATGACTTTTGATTGAATGCTATTCCTACTCATCATTTATTTTTCATTTGAAAACAGAATTAAATCCCACGTGAGAAGATTCAGCCAGGCAATTAAAGTTTTTGTTTTTGGATTGGAGTCGATTATATATTAGTTCTTTATTTTCAAAAAATGAATTAATTAATCTTTCTTATTTTAAAAATTAATTATTTAGTCATTTGATCAATATTAATTATGTTTAATTTTATATTATTTTATTTTTTAAAAAATATCATTGTTTTTTTCTTTTCAATTCTTCTACTTTTTACTTTTTTCCTTTTTTAAAATAAAATAAATTGAAAAAATGATTAATTAAAAATTTGAAAAAAAATACAGGAGCTACATAATTAGTTTTTGAAACAATAACAACTAATTAATTCTTTTTTCAAAACTAGAGGGACTATTTTATCATTCTTTGCCGACTAGCCTGCCATGTAGATCTTAAGCATTGTGGACCAAATGGGCCCCCATAGATTGATAATAACTAGCTGCGAAGGCCATTCTTCCAAGTAAAAAAAAAAAAAAAAAAACAGAGAAAAGTAGGTAGGAAGTTGATGCGGTAGTTGCAACACTGTTGTAAGAGATAATGTTATTAGTATTGGAACCTTTAAGGTGATTACGATGGATTGTGCAAAATAATTTTTATGAACAAACACAACTAACAAGTTGATTTGCTTTTTCACGTTAGAGTTTTGAGTTTCTGATAAAAAAAAAGGGTTTTTTTTTGGTTCAGATTAAGAATGAAATCTTTTAATTTTGATATACAAAAACTTATTCGAAAATATCTTTATCGTATTTTTTAAAAAAAATTTGTTACTATTAGTTTTATTGGTCTTATATTACTAGTTATTGTTTATAGGATTTTACATATATCGAGATCTTATATAATTTAATTTTTTTGAATTGAGATCCTAAATTTTTTTGTTTAATTTAATAGTTCAACTCTTGTGTTGTTGTTTCAAAATCTAATATGTCACATAAGCATATTTGATAAGTTTTAGTTAATGACAACTTGTCATGTGTTATAGTTGACTCAAATTAAATGATTGAATTTAGCGACATGATAAGTTGTTATTGACTAGAACTGTATCAAATGTTTAATTATAATTGACTAAGGTCTAAAACTACAATAACTTAAGAATAAAACTCTTAAATTAAATTAAAAAAATTAATAAAAATCTTAATAAAAAATATAAATTATATGAAATCTCGATATACATATATATATATCATATATATATATATATATATATATAATCCATTGTTAATATATATATAGCTGAACCAATGTTAGCATAGACATTTACAGCAAGAAGTACGAAGAAAGCAGAAAGATTTTCAGTTTTATGAAGTACTTTTGTCGCCCATCTCCATTTTTCTTTTTTGGCAACTTGGGGGAACATGTCATTTCTGGCACAATCATTTTCATGGGAGGAGTCGGAAATAATGGGTCCAAGACTCCACTTGCTTAAAGTCATCTCTTAGTTTTGTAATTGTTCAACCACCATTCAATCAATCATATCCTAAAGTCCTTCTCAAGCTTATGCCATCTTTGTTGCGTGATTATGAATTTTTTGACGCATCTTGGGATGGTGTGTTCTAGGCTTTTCACCACTTTTCAATGTATTGGATCCAATGATTATTTGAGAGAAAATTGTTAACTGAAATTCGTAAGATAAGGGGATGAAAAGCACCTCCTTTATCCAACTTGATCTAACGAGGCTTGCTTCTTTTTTTGTTTTTTTTGATAACACGGGTGTTTAACCGAACTTATGTGCATCTTGACTAATCCTACGAACTTAAAAGTTAACGATCATGTAAGCGCTTCAATAGTCACCAAATGGAACAATCGAACTCGAACCCGAGATCACGGGAGAAGCAAATCCTTGATACTAAGTCTTTGTCGCTACGCCACCTCCTAGTGGTTTCTAATTAGGCTTTCCTACTAGTACTCCTAGTGGTTGAGCCTTTGCATTGTTATTTTTGGGCTTGGCCCTTTAATGGAATTATTTGCCTTTGATATCGGTTGTCGCAACAATTATTTTATTATCAAGATAAATCATGCACCATTTGTAATCATAATTATAATCGTATTCACGATTTAAATTTATTCTTGGCTCCCAAAATGAAAGCCTCGAGTTGAAATTTTCACTAGAGAAATTTTAGAGGCTTGGAAAACGAAAGAAAGAAAGAATTATACAAGAAATGAATCTAGAAAGAAAACAATCTAGACATTCAAAGAATTATACAAAGTTAAATATCATAAAATTAGAAGAAACAAAATCAGGATAACGCTCATTGCAATCCACAAGCTACCTCCCTGCCATGAGATTGACTATAGCTTGATTTTCATAGACAGAACCAACATCCCAATCCTCAGATGAGGAGGAAAGTGTCATAAGCGCAACCACAATTGACCTCATGCTTGGCCTTACTTGAGGATTTTCTTGTGTGCAAGCTCTAGCAAGCTGGGCCATCTGTGAACAAAACCAAATTATGGCATTTAGTACTGAAACTAGTCCACCACAGACAGACAGACTTTGCATTTTCTGGGATCAAAATTCACCTTGCAAACTGAGTCCAGAGGGTAGTCATCTCCAAGCCTAGGATCAACAAGTTCAGGAAGATTTTCTCTTGGATCCTGCTGACGCAGAACATCCTCAAACTGCAGCAAATCAGTACACCTAACTCAGGTTATCATTGGAGAAAAAAAATTGAGAGATCGTTTATGTTCTAGTGCATAGAGATTTAATGGCTAGAGTAACAACCAAAGCTACAAGTCCCTTAGATTCAGTGATAAATTCATTGGTCTTGACAACCGCTTCCTTGGCAGATATAAGTTCATAGAGCACGACTCCGAATGCATATACGTCTATCTTGGCAGAGACATCTCCATATTGAGCATACCTGGACCGAAATGCCAAGATCAATCAAACCTTTTAGTGCTTCAAAAATACATAATACCTGATATAATAACTAATGCACAGATAACTATTGGAGTTGGTGGAATCTCAGAACATCCTGTTAGCTATTCATGCAGAGGCCGATTTCGAAACCTTTTACTGTTAGAGAACTTACTCTGGAGGCATGTATCCAAATGTACCTACAAGGCGTGTGTGCAATGAAGCACTTCCTACTTCAGTAAGCCTCGTCAAACCAAAATCTGCAACCTGTACAAAATATTAGTTTGGAGTACTTCACATTAATAGACCTGAGAAGCTACCACTACCATAGGAATACAGGAAGATCGACAACCTTTCCGCGGAAGTTTTTGTCGATCAAAATGTTTGCTGATTTCACATCACGGTGGATATATACAGGCACAGTATGCTCATGGATGTATTCAAGGCCTCTGGCTGAGTCTAGAGCTATTTGTACCCTAGCTGGCCATGACAACGGCACCTTTCCTGAAAAAGAACAGAACTTCAACATGTTCATTAGAATTAATCGACGCAAAAGCTACATGTTGATTATGAAGATGGGTTCTTACCCGAATTACTACGCAAATGATGACTTAGATTTCCATTCTCAATGAACTCATAGACCAAGAATAGGGAACTTTCAACACAATATCCTATTAAGCGCACCTGCCGAAAATTGTTTCGCATGTGACTCGATGACTATAAGATGATTGAATACTTAAAGAACATTAAGGAAACATCAAATGTAAACTAATTAATCAAGTTGCTGATTCAACACCAGTTCCTAAGCATGACAGACATAAAAGGATGAAACATTACGTACCAGGTTTAAGTGATGAACGTGTGTCAAAACCTTCAGCTCAGCGAGAAATTCTTTCGATGCTTGCATATCCATCTTCTTGATTGCAGCTTTCTGCAAAGATAGTAGGAAGAGGAAAGAGTGGTTAGTTTCGAACAATTCCATCCTGTTATGAACTTCCCTGTCGATTTCCTGTGCATTTATTAATGATGAATCAATGATTAATAAGAGCATGACTACGAACCTCGCCTCTTAGTTCAGCATAGTACACTATTCCAAACCCGCCTTGCCCAATCTTATTAGCTATGTTGAAGTCATCAGTGGCCTTAGCAAGCTCTTCATAAGAGAACTCCACAGATTTGTCTACTGTAATACCTGTTAGCCCCGGAGAACCAACAAGAGCAGCTGTTTCCGAAGTCTTCTCCAATATATTACTGGAGCCTAAAACCAAGTTTAGAGAAAAATTAAGCCAACCAAAAGAGGTACAAGGAATCGTATATATCATGCCCTAGGCGTGGGAGCAGGGCTCGTTGTGCAGGCCAACAAGTGCAACACTGCGTTAGGCTTAGAGGTGACTCCTAAGCATAGTTTTAAATAACAACCGTTATATTATATAACGGTTATTATGTAACAAATTTAAAATATTTTGTTATCGTTATTTTAATATTATAATAAGTTACAATCTGCTGTTACGATCGAGATCATTTTTTTAATCTTTCGTGATTTAAAACTATGCTTCTAAGGGTTCAAAAGATGGCTCCATCTCTTCCAAGGATGTAGGTTTAGGTTTAGTATCTGTTGCCCAACTTGAACAACAGCAAAGCTAGAACACTGCGTTGGACTTATTAAACTCGCTATCCAAAATAATATTTATTTTGATTGGTACAGAAAGTAGGTTATCTATGAGATCTTTCATGTCATCACATCTAAATCCAACGTTAGAACACATCTAATTTTTGATCAACGATTAAGCTATAATTTTAAACTAAATCAGTTCAAACTTGAGTACCACTAATGAATAATTATGGTGGAACCATGGACTTGGACAAATCAAATTGATCCCATTGCTGCTAGACCACAGCCCTCGATGGTGAAATAGTATTCTTTGTTGCACATAAGTCCATAAATTATTCCTAATATTTTATTCAAATTCCTCGTAATCCCAAATGTGGAACATGGGACATCACAAATCCTTCATCACTTAACTTAGAATATGATTTCTAGACACAAAAAACTTCATAAATGAATAATTACCAAGCCTATGGTGAATATAGGGGCTTTCAGCTGCTTCTGGGAGTAATGATGCCATAACCACTCTTCTTCTGTAAAGTCCAAAATAAAAACAAGAGGCGAAAAAGAAAGCTCCAGCAACTCCTGCAACAGATATGCCTGCGATGACTCTGCTTGAGATTCCTGCTTGAATGCCATGCACGACAACATAAGCTCAAGGCCTATATGTCTTCACATTTTCTTTATAAAAAATTTGAGAGTTGAGGAAAACAATACTCAATGAAGATCAGGTGATCCTACCAGTTGCACTGCAAGAATAATATAAAAGGAAAAGAAAATGGTGATTAGATACAATTCAAAAATAAAAATAAAAATGCAGCCTTCAATTTTGTAGATATGAAGGTATGTGTATCTTACTTGATCTTTAGTGGAGGATAGTTTCCAGTTTGATCTGTGGAAGACAGAAAACCCAAAAGTTAGTGACCAGATCAGTTACAAGCAATAAAATCTGCTTGAATGCCATGCACAACGATAGGAAATAGTTTATGTGTGAACAAAAAAATAAAATAAAATAAAATCGGGATCCAAATCAAAATAAAAAAACATTAAAGACTTTTTTCATCTTGATCAAAAATTCAGAATACTTTATAGTTTAGCCTAAAAAATACTCAAAAATGGAACCCATCAACAGTTTCTTGCTATACTTGGATTTTTCTGAAATTTTTTCCAAAAAAAATGGGATCAATTTCTGTGTTTGTTGTCTACTTTGTAGTAATGGAAAACAAGAGCAGCAGCCAGTCAGTTATAACGGTTATTTAACCGCCAAAAACAGAGGGTTCTAGGTTGGGCTGGGTTGGGCTGGGCTGACTGGTATTCTTGTTGATGAGCGTCAAGTATGTTTTATTTTATTTTGCGGTTTTTGTTTTGAAATTTTTAAAATATAAAAAACTTGTTTGCCTTTTTTTTTTAATTGAAAAAAGCAAAAATTGGTGACCGTCTCTATAAATTTTCAAAATCACTTTGGGTGATTTTAAAAGTCGTGACAAATGATTGCAGATTTTATTTTTTAAGATAAAAACCAACATAAAGAAATTAATTTATATTTTTATTATTTACAAAAATAGTATTAGAGAATAATATAAATTATATTATGGGTCTCATCAAATAATTTAAGCTTTTGGATTGAAATGACCATTTGATATGGTATTAGAGTCTTGTTAACCTAAAGATCAAAAATTCAAATCTTACTACCCTCACTTTCTCGTGTCCATGTACGTTTCATTTGAAGAGGTGAGTTAGAGAATAATCTCTCAAATCTAACGATCAAGAATTAAAATCTTGTTATACTCAATTTCTCTCAATATCTTAAATTTTGAAGTACTTAAGATGATCTTTTAACAAATAGTATCTAAAGGCTAACTATAATGGTGTAATGATGACAAATGATCACGTTAAGTTTTATTTATTTATTTAATGAATGATATAATTATATCATTATAATATTACTCATCAAATAAATTACTACAAAAATAGTATGACAATTATATAGAAAACACCTAGAAACTACTAATTTTTTTTGTCAAAAGACTAATTTACTTTTATTAAATCTATAAACTTTTAAATAATTCTTGTAATTTTAAGACACCTAGCATATGCCATGCACCAGCTTGAAAGTGATCATTGTTTACAATTGATTGATTAATTAATTAATTAATTAATTATTAGTTATATTAATCTCATTTCTGCAATGATAAGTAATCGACAAATGTCATGAACCATAACCTTTCCTCTTTTGTTTCTTTCTCAACTTTACTACACAAATAAAATAATATTTCAATAATATTTCTAATGTTACAAAAACGTTAACATGGAATGTTTCAAACACTCTACATATTTTACTCATAAGTAGTTAAGTACCCCGTTGCAAGGGCCAGCCATACAACTAGGTTGAGTAAATTATAAATTAGTCCCTTTAATTTTACAAAACTAATTAATTAGTTCGTTTGTTTTTAAAATCTATTTGTAACTTTATTATTCTATTTCTTTTTTTTTTAATTTTCTTTTTTATATATATATAAAATAGAATAAAGATGACAATATTTAAATAATATGGGTAGATTGATGAAAAAATAAAATCTTTTTTCAACATATAATGATTTTGACTAGAATCCAAATTAAGATACAAATTTTATACCAAATGTCCAGCTAACAAGCCACGACACTTTGGCTCCATGCATGATAAGTTTTTTAGTAGTATTCTATACTTTGTGGAGCCTGAAAGAGATAACTAGCTAGGTTATTTGTTTTATAGAAAAGCAAGGAAAGAGAAAGGTTGATCTCGTCACTGAATAATTAAGGCATAATCATTTTTAGACGAAGTAGAAATTAGATTAATAAGAAGAAAATCAACTAATAATTGATAACAAATTAAATAGTTCGATCGAGTTCAAATGCATCTCTTTTCGTGGTGACGATAGGTTAGTATTATAATAGTTTTTTTTTCTCGAATTTAGGGGAAATGTCAATTGGTCCTCGAAGAATATTATTGTTTCATTTGAGTTGAAATTTTTCATCGAAACTCTCCACTGATTTTTTACAGAAAGAACACCGAGGTATTGCTCTAGCTATGTGTGTGTGTGTGTGTGGAAAAGCACAGAATTCATATTGAATCCATTAAAGATATTGCAAACTCACTTTGTCTTTTAAGGACTCAATCGAGAATCCCTATATCTTTTTTGACAGTTAAAAAGTAACTAACCTGTTGCCGGCACATAAACAATTCCACTCCCTGCATTCAAATTCGTCCCTAGGTTGTACCTCACTAGCAAATCGGCCGGCACACCGGACTCCGCTGCTAAGGATGCCAAAGTCTCTCCGGGCCGAAGCGGGTAGGTCATGAACAATCCATAATCCTTTGACACATGCTTATCTCCGCATGAACAATTCAATGTTACATTAATGGGGACATCGTTCGGTATCTGAGTAATATCATAAACGTTGACTCTATGTACCCAATCCTCAGTGGTGAGGTTAGCAAAAGCAGTCCTTGCGATCCTAAGGTAGGTGTCATCAGATTGAGTGATGTAAGAGAAGGTATGGCCCAAAAAATCACCATTTAAACAGTCACAAGAGAAGGGTAGGTTGATTCTTGTATCAGTGCGTATGCTATCTTGATTTGGGACATGAGGATTGTAACGAAGGATTTCGCTTATGTCTAGGTTAAAGATGGTGCTAATATAGGTTAGGTTTGATCCTTGCCATACACAATATGAGGCTAGGGCAAGGTCACAACCTGTTCTACACTTGGCTTGGAGTTTGAAGGATAAGAAGAGAAGAACACAAGAGACTAAGATCAATTGAATGTGTGAATTTCTGTAGGAGGATGTGATCATTTTGTGGAGGGAGAAGTTGGAAAAGTGGGATGATTTGAGGATGCGAGAAGGTAATAGGATTTGTTGGCTAAGTATGGTATTCGGTAAGTAGTCAAGTCCAGGGCAAATTTAATATTTATGAGGTTGGTTTTGTTTGTTTGTTTACATGCATGTAATATATGAGACTTTGGTCAAATTTGTCGTCATGCTCTATCTATGATTCGTTGGAAGAAAGAATTTTGGAACCAATCTTGGATGTGCTGAGGTCTATGGGTCGGGGCACTAGTTGCAATGGGTTGATCTCAGGGCTCATAATGCATTTTGGCCCGAGACCATCCTATGTGGGTTAGGGCACTATATATGCATGCATGTTATTTATAAGTTTTAAAATGATAAATGGTCACAAAGTATCATGAATTTTTGGTTAACCAAAAACAAAAAAAATCGATTTGGGTTTCAAATCCTTTCTCTTTTATTTGCAATTTTATTTTATTGATTAATTTCATACAGCATTGGACACGTGAAAGAAATATGTTTTCTTTTATTTGTAATTTCGTTTCGTTAACTAATTTCAAATAATATTAAACACGTGTGAGAAGCACATGAAGTACGTGTGAGATGTCAAATTTGACAAGAGCAATTAATGTTAGTATGAAAAACTAACTCTAAAATGCGTTACGGTTAACACTAGAAAAACTAATCATGCTATCAATATGAAAATACATTTGAATTAAGCAAATAACCAATCCGGAAATAAAATATTACTAAAAAAAATCCATTAATTCATGGTATTTGTATGATTTAAGATGTGATCATCCATGCATGATCAATTAATGATCGTAATTTGTTATTAGACATGACATAATTGATACTTTGAAGCTATTTAATCTTGACTATAAGAAAAAAACTTTTATAATAAATATGCATTTTTATATAAAAATTAGGCTAATATGTATTGGTAAACACCTATAAAATTTAGTAAGTTGAGATATTGAAGGAAATTGAAAGTTAAGATTTATTGTAAGAATGAGAAATTTAAGGAAAACTATCACTAAAGATAAATTAATATTTTCTATTTCTTAATAATAGTAATATTTTCTATTTCTTAATAATAGTAATATTTTCTATTGTTAATATAATTACACGTTTTTTTCTCTATCCTTGTAATCTTCAATATTTTTTTAATGAGTCTGATTTAAAATTAACAAGACTATTATATATTTGTGTCTTTTATCTCTAAAAATATGAAAGGGGTATTTGTGGATTTTACCTCAAAAAATCTGAAATGGGTTTTGATTTTAACAGAGATCCATAACAAAATGAGAAAAAAGTTGTTCATTCTTATCAAATAAGAAGTAATTAAGATTTAAATCTAAAAAGTTGTTCATTCTTCTCTTCTATGCTTTTGTGGTTATAGAAGAGAAGATATATTTTTATTTATTGTGAAATTTTAAAATAATAATAATAAATAATTTGAATTTTAGAGATTATGCCAAAAAAATTAAGACATATAAAATTTCTCAAATTTATATTTTTAAATAATAAAACATCAACAATTATTGTAATTATTAAATTATTGAAACTTAGATATCATGATGTTCTTTAGAGACAATCAATCCACGAACTATCCATAATAAGACAATTATGTGTTTTTCTTATATGAAATTGCAGGTGATGTCCATCGTACGTACGTTATATTATTTTTTTTAATCATTAGCTAATAACTATATAGTCTGGTTCTATTGCATCGATCTTTGTTGGCCAAGCCTGCAAAAATGGTGTTGTTAAACAAGATGATAACGATTTAGGTTTTTTTTTTTGTTCTTTGGGTTTGAAGTGACCTGCGATATTGGTTCATTATGAATTATAAAATCACAAAAGACCATAATGTAGATGCATTGCTATTCATATTTAAGTTTTTGTTATTAGAGATCAAATTAAATGTTTTATGAAACAAGAAGGACTGAACCATCGCAAAGTCAAGACAAATTATGCGATTCAACAGAAGATTGTGACAAATTTTTTATTATGAAAGCGAATGATTTTTAATTTTTAATATATTTTGAACCCTGGCCCAAGCTCGAACAAATGGGCCAGGTACGTTGAGCCTAGTGGTACCTGGCCCATTGTCTGAATTTTTCAATTAATTAATATTTTTATTAAGAATCAACGTAATATTCTACTAAAATTGAGGGACCAAAATCCAATCCAATATCAGCTAAATAAAATTCAATAAATTCAAAATCACAAAATACGAAGAGTTTTAGTATAAAAATTTATTTCAAAAGAGGTTTTTTCATTTTTTTTTTTATTATTGTTGAGTAGATATAGCATATAGACTGGATTTTGAATATAAAAATTATAATTATATTCTTTTAATAATTTTTTCTCATAATAAAAAAGGATTATGTCTAGATTTTGAATATAAAAATTACAATTATATTCTTGTAATAATTTTTTCTCATAACAAAGAAGGATTATTCTCGGACTCGTGGTGTAGGTAGAATTTTTCCAAATCAAATAACTAGGAATTTTTGAGAGAGTGTATTAGAACTCGTTCTAAGGAGAAAGATTATGCAGTAATCAGAATTGAACAATTATATATAGGAAACAATCAATAAAATCAATGAAAAAAAATCAAATATTATCTATTGATTTGTGTACTTGTTAATTATATGAATTGTTTCCATATTTTTCTCATTTTATTTATATATAAACGGGTTTATCCTATAATTGATTTCTGCATAATTCTAATTTTTTTTATTGATACTCTCTACTATTTTTCAATTAATTAAAATTTTTTATTCTTATAAATTTATTGATTGAGACCCTCCGTTATAATGCCGTTGACTATTTATCATACGTGGCAAATTAAAGCTACGATAGCAATCGGACAATAACACGTGATAAATTTTTTAATCCATATTTTCATATTTCAATTCTTGATTAGCTATTATGATTTTTAAAATACCACATGAGATGAATAGTTAACAACGTTTTAACGAAGGAGTTTCAAGGAATAAATTTATAAAAGTAGAAGGCTTCAATTGAACTGAAAAATAATAAAATATCTTAATAAAAACAATTCCTACTGTAGAGACCAATTAAGAAGGGTTTATACAAACCTTACAAAGGATCTTGAAATCTAATACTGTAGAAGTGCTGGAGTATAAGACACCAACAAATATACAGTGCTATAAACATGTGAACAGAAATGCAAAGTCTCATCTTCTTGGCCTAATTCATCTTCATTCAAGATTGAAAACCCACGTCCGATTTCTCCATAAGTAAATATTCCCGCCATTGGGACCTCAGGAAAATTGTCCAACAATGGTGAGCTATCAACATTGCTGTGTCCAAAGAATGATTCACCACGGCCCCAACAAGCAAAGACGAAACCTCCAATGACTTCCTCATTACCAACACCCCCACCTACATGAAGCTGGCAGCTTCTAAAGCTCCAGTCTAGCTTCAGGTTTCTGAAATTCTTGGAGACATTACGACTTGAAGATGATGCAGTGCTTGGATCTGAATGGTAAAGGCGAAAATAGTCTCCAGTTTTGATGCCAACTCCATTAACATAAAGGTTCACTGTATCTGCTCTGTTGACAAGAAACTATCTCAATGAGAAGAGAATCTCTGAATATGGTCTTAAATTAAGCACAGGAAAAAAGTTTCTAGGTTAATTTATGGCTATGGTAATAACAAATACAAATCGTCCCATAAGGCTGGCTGATCATTGGCAGATGATGATGAAAGTTTAATCTCACCCCATAACTTCATGGATAGCCAAGGATCTCGTCGGTCTTGGCTTCTCTGACCCACTAAAGCATTTTCTTTGGTAAGAAACCCCAATGAACAGTTTTGTTTGGTTCCCCAACTGTAACATATTTAATTATACTTCAGAAGAGAGCACAAATAAAAAGAATAATACTCATTTTACGATATTGGATTAATAAGTTAATTTATCTTTATACGATAATTCTTCAATCTATCGTCATATCTCTAAGTATACGTTGTTTCTAACATATCATTTTTACAAGGTTTTCAAGCTAAATCATCAGAATTAATCACTCAATTTGTACATAAAAGTCTTTCATTTGTTTAGTTTGCAAAAACAATTTGAGAATAAAAATAATCATATGTAAAACACGTGATTAATTTCGATGATTTGATATGAAAATCTTATCAAATTAATATATTAAAAAATTAATATATATTCAAAGATAAAATTAGCTTAATTAGAAATACAAGCACATATTGAAAAATTACCTTAAGCAGAGATTGAGAAATTGCCTTCATATATAAAGGATGGCTTTCCGAAAAACTAGTTAGCATACCTCATTGATGATGTCATCTATAATCCTTTGACCACCTAGGATCTCTTGTTCTCCTTCTCTTCTGACAGTAAGAGAAGTACTAAGACCAGTCTCAGATTCAATCTCTTTGACAGAAACTGCCTTGTACCTTGGACCTGTCGCAGAAACACCAGTTGATAATGCAGAGTGGAAATGGATTTCCCCTGCACCTACTCATTAAGCCAAATTAATCAGCAGAAATATGAGATAACATGTCATATAATTATCAGATAAAGAAAAGACAACTACGTTGTCTTTCCATTTCAGTTGCAAAAACATAGATGAATCGAAGAGATATGTACCAGAAGGTTTTTCTCTATCCCTTGCAAAAACAAGAGCAACTGCATCAGAAAAATATTCACCATTACTCCCATACACATTTCTTGACTCTATGCCACTTCTGTATACAAACTTGGCTCTCTCGTCACCAACAACAGTAGTTTCTCTTGACATGGCAAGATCTACAACATACAATATATTGTTAATTAACCTATGAGCATGGCAGAAAAAGGATGCAAAATGAGCCTTGATTTATTTTTCTTATGAACAAAAAACTCACCCAGCTTTTCCACTACAGGTTTCTGGTCAGTTTTTTCGCTCTATAGAAGCACAAAAGTCGTATCTTAACAAGAAACTTACTGAAGAATACAAGGATATGTGCAGACAAGTATGAAAACATAGCTTACTCCAAACATTATTATCAGAACTGGTGATGTGGAACCAGAAACAGAAGCTGCATAATTCCTAATATCCATCACAAAGTTGTCAACCATTGCCACTCCCTGTGCCTGATGTTTCCATTTCAGCAAAAAATGCTCAAGATTAGTCAGCTTATTGTCAACAAATTCCCTGAAGCTTTATAAGATTCCTCTAATTATTGTCAACAGTAAGGATAACATCGGACCAGGTTTAGCAAACTAAGATTAAAATCCTCCTCGATCGGATCTTAAACAAGCCATCCAACTTAAAATCTTATAGAGAACATCGTTTTCTAGACTGAAGTATAATTAGTTGCATGATTTGTTACCTTTCTTGGACGCAGCAGTGGGATGGCATCAACTTTTAGTCCTGGTAAAAACCCCACAGTCAGCACGACACCAAAGCCTGAATTCGATGCACCATCAACCCAAAAATCTTCTATCATAACCTACACATTTTTAATAGAAGCCAATAATGGAGTCTTTTATGTTTCTTGAAAAGAAAAAAAAGCAAGCAAAAAAATGTTGCAGTGCTGAGTCTGCTGACCTCTTTATATTCATCAGTAACAGCATCTCTTCCCATCATTCCACTAGCACAAGAAACAATAATTGGAATTTTGGAACCAAGTTTGGCTGCTAACTGCAACATAGATCATACAAAGTAATCCAACTCAAACGTTAGATTAACAAAAACACAAAAAGGGAAAAGCCACAAAACATATTTGATGAAAAATGTTACGAAATCAAGTTTTCCACTCATATCAACTTCACTCCCAACAACATTTGCAATGGCAAACTGGGGTCTAATTGGCTCGGAGAGAACCTTATCGACAACCTCTTCTAATGCAATCTGTTTGATCACCGTCAAAAACACAAAAATTCAATTCAAGTTAGGAATTTTACACTCAAACTTTAAGATTTTTCTGCATTTTTGTTGGTCTTTTTAAGACCCAACAAACCTTTTGGTCAGGATTGAGAGAAAAAGCAGAGGCAAGCTTCGGTCTGGAGAGGATTCGACGGCAATTTTGGTTCCATGATTTGCTAACACATGCTGCTGATGCAAAAGATAAAGCTGGTATTCTCTTTAGTATATTTTGAATAAGGTCTTCGTTTATTGATGCAAAGCCTGCCGTTGGCGTTTTGGGTTCTTTTGGTTTCTTCTCCATTATTGATATCAGAATTCTGCAACTTTTGCTTGACCCGAGGGCTGTTAATGGAGATCCCAGCAAAAAACTTCAACTTCAAAAAGCAGCCAGTGAGTCAAGTATGGGACCCAATGTTTTTTAGGCTTATTCAATTTCGAAAGGAAAATTTCATGGAAAGGACTTGGAAATTGAATTTAAGAAGGGCCCGGGAGACTAAGACTACATGCATTGAAGTCAGACTGCCATTAATTCAGATTCCCTGAAGTAATTTTCAAGCTTGGACTAATGGAAAAAATGGAGTATTTTTCACATTAATTCAGTTACCCTGAAGTAATTTTCAAGCTTGGACTGATGGAAAAAATGGAGTATTTTTCAAACTTGCATGACCTGTGATCAAATTTCACCTCGCTAACTGAGTCAAGTGGGTAGTCATTTCAAGCCTAGGATTCGTCAAGTGGATCATGCTGATTCAGGATATCCTCAAACTGCAGCAGATCCACAGATATAACTCAAGTTATTCAGTGCTTCAAAAATGCAGAAAACCTAATAACAGAGGCAGTCATAAGTATCAAAACGAACTTTAGAGAGATCTGCACTTGAGAGTCACCTTGGATCCACTCAAGGGCTTCTACATCAGGGCTTACATGCATCAATGGACACCACTTTCAACCCAGAATTCTAGCTGGTGGTGGTCTATCTTTGTATATAAACATCTCAAATTTCTCATTCCTGACGATGTAGGATTCACATGTGCAAACCCGACAATACTCTTATGCAAATCAATCTTATCTTGTAAGAAAATGCAGTTATAGAAAGTAAAGAAGGAAGAAACTCATAATCCAATCCAATCGTTGCAGCAATGAATTAAAAAAATCAGAAGCCCTCTTGCCTCTTGGATCAAATCGAAACCTTTTATACTACCGCTGCAAATATAAACTGAAACTTACTCTGGAGGCATGCATCCAAAATTACCCACAATTAAGGCAAGTATGCAACGAAGCACTTCCAAATTCAGACATCTTTGTCAATCCAAATTCTGCAACCTGTACAAGGTATTAATTAGGACTGTATATACACATAAATGAACTTCAGAATCTGCCTTGTGAACACAGTAAAGTTGGGAAGTGAGAACCTTTTCGTGGAAGCTTTTCTCTATTAAAATGTTTGCTGATTTGACGTAACAGTGGCCATATACACAGTCACTGTATGTTCATGGATTGATTCAAGGCCTCTAGCAGAGACTAAAGCAGCCGGTACCCTAGTAGACCATCGCAGTGTAATATCCTTCCCTAAGAGCAAAAATGCATCATGTTCATTAGACTCTGATAAGCCATGTTATGATGTTTTTATGGAAGTTGACTCCACCGCTAGGGCTGACAAATTCTTGCCGGGCCATAGTGGGTATGTCGCGAACAATATTTGTTCGATATGGTACTACAGATGTTTCATTTAAATTTCAATTTCTGTAAATTTCGTTTAGGTCTCATATGATCCACAAATACTATAATATGAGCAGAAAATGTAATAATACTGAGAAATGTTGTACTATGCAATAATTAAGTTCAAAATTAAAACACCAACAACAAGCCCTACCAATAATAGAGAGAGTCAGTACTTCTGGTAATCCATCAGAAAGAAGATATATGGACAAAATCTAATGCTTTAGAGGTGTTGGAGTATAAGACATCAACAGATATATGGTGCTATAGACATGTAGACAGCAATATTTGCTCTTTTCTTCTTGGCCTTGATCATCTGCATTCAACATCGAAAACCCACGTCCGATTTCCCCATAACAAAATATTCCTGCCAATGGGATTCCAGGAAAATTATCCAGGAATGGTGAGCTATCTACATTGCTGTGTCCAAAGAAAGATTCACCACGGCCCCAGCAAGAGAAAACTAAACCTCCAACAACTTCCTTATAACCGACATTATAAGCATCTTCGCCTGCATGAAGCTGGCTGCTTCTGAAACTCCAATCTAGCTTCAGGTTTCTGAAATTCTTGGAGACATTACTACATGAAGATAATGCAGAGTTTGGATCTGAATGGTAAAAATGAAAATAGTCTCCAGAACTGATGCCGTCTCCATTGACAAAAAGATGCTCTCCATCTCCTCTGTTGACAAAGCAACTATCTCAATCAGAAAAGAATCTTTGAAATTGTACTTGAACCAAGCAAATAAAGGGAAAAACCTGGTTAACTAGTGGAAAAACTACAAGCCCAATATAGATGATGAAAGTTCGATAACATACCCCTTAACTTCATGAAAAGCCAGGAATTTCATCATTCTTGGCTGCTCTGACCCAATAAAGCATTGTCTTTGTTCTGAAACCCCAATGAATAGTTCAGTTTGGTTCACCAACTGTCACAAATTGAGAAAATCAACAGCAAAAAACAACGATGGAACATTAGAAACTTGTTTGAGATGGTTTTTTGACATGATATCGCTTAATATATGGATCCACTCTCATTCGTACGAATCTATTTTAAAGGGTTAGTATAAAATTCAAATGTGCTGGCCAAAACATGCCCGAACTCAGAAGAGCCGGAGGAGTTTGGGTATAAGAAGAGAAAATGCTTTTTGTGGTGCATTACTTCCCATTCACAAGAATCAAAATAAGAATATGTGGACTTTTTTTCATAAGATTTAAGTGTCATAAATGAAAAATAAATGACATTTCAACCAGATAATTATAACAACTCTGCAAATGTTCGTAAGGCTTTTCACCAAAGCAAAGCAGAAGCAAACACGACAAACAACTAGCTAGCTAGGAATAAGGAAATCGCCATTAGCCAAAAGAATGCATGCATGAGTTTTCAAAAGACTAGCATACCTCGTGATTGATTTCATCCATGATCCTTTGACCACCTAGAGTCTCTTGTTCTCCCTCTCTTCTAGCAGTAAGCAATGTATTAAGACCGGTATCGGATTCAGTCTCTTTAACAGAAACAACCTTGTACCTGGGACCTACTGCAGAAACACCACTTGATAATGCAGAATGGAATTGGATTTCCCCTACCCCTGCTCAATAAGCCAAATCAGCAAGGTCATCAGATAACATATCATATGATAAGATAAAGAAAAGGCAAAGTACGTATGCAGTCTCTTTAACAGAATCCATTTTTTTTTTTAATCTAGGGCTAATTGATGAATATGTCATTATATGATAAGATCCAATCTGTTCTTATATTTTTAATTGAATCAATTTTTATCATTGAATATATGTTTAATGTTTAATTTATTTTCTGATAAGATTTTCAAGCTAAATTATCAGAATTACTCACATGATTTACACATAAAATTCTTCTATCTAACTTGTTTATAAAGGTGTTTTGAAAATAAAAAATAATCATGTATATATTATGTGAATAATTTTGATGTTTTGGTCAAAAAAATCTTGACAAAATAATAGAGTATAAATTTAACGTATATTTAAAAAAAAATGACTCAATTAAAAATATAAGAATATATTGGAAAACTAATAAGGATAGATTGATTCACTAACCCTTTAACCAATGCCCCAAAAAAAAAAAAAAAAGGAACATTTCTCCATTTATGTGTCATTCTTATACAAGATCATGTTCATCATCTCTGTATCGTTCTAATTTTATTAGATTTTCTCAAAGTAAATTCTTCTATTCTTTTTTCTGCCGTTTTAGTTGTAAAAGAGAAAGAAGTAGCAAGAAAATAGATGATAAAGAGATACCAGAAGATTTGTTTTGATCCCTTGCAAATACAAGAGCAACTGCATCAGAAAAACATTCATCACTCCCATACATATTTCTTGAATCCATGCCACTTCTGTACAGGAATTGGGATCTCTCATTACCGACAATGAAAGTTTCCCTTGACATGGCATGATCTGCAACATACGATATATCAACTTCAAGAACCAATACAGGAGATTGCTTCTATGCAGCTTGTCATGTCTAGCAACAGTACTTTTCGAAAATCTGAACCAAAACTTATAAAATGGCCTTCGTTACAAAAAATAAAATAAAATAATAAACGGCAAAAATAGAATAAATATTTTATTTGTAAGGATCAAACTGAAAAATTTTAAATAAAATTGACTAAATAGAGGCAAAAATGTATATCTCCTTATATTGTTTGGTTTGATAAAGGTATAAAATATGAACCCTAACCCTTAAACCAAACACAAGCAAAAAGTTTCCTTAGTTGAGAAAAACTCACCAAGCTTTTCCATGACAGGTTTCTGGTCAGCCTTTTCACCCTGTAGCAGAAAAAAAAGAGTCATATCTTAGCTAGAAAATCATACAAGAATGTGCATGTAAGTATACATGAAAGCATGCATTAGCTTACTCCAAACATTATAATCAAAGCTGGTGATGAAGAACCAGAAACAGAAGCCGTATAATTCCTAATATCCATCACAAACTTATCAACCATTGCCACTTGACCTGCCTGATGTCACCATGCCAGCAAAAACACACAAAGATCATGTAGTTAGCTTTTTGTCAAAGCTCTATGTCCTCTAAAATAATGCATATCTTAATTTAAATTGTTTATATACATAGTTTTTAGAATTTTTATTGTATGTTTGTGTAAAATTTTTATAATAAATCATTCTTTATGAGTTCACAAAATTTGACCAAATTTAGCTATATCGAATGATTTTTGCTCATCTTTAATATATATATATATATATATATATATATATATATATATATATATATATATATATATATATATATATATATATATATTTTAACGTCAGTCTAACTTGACAACTCAACAGCACTGAATTATAAAGTCTAACCAATGAGATATGTATGTGACGAGGGAAAAAAAGGTTTGCATCAGCAGAATAATTAATTTCCATTTACATTATTTTAGTTTTGCAAATAAGAGTTATATTTATAAGCAGTTGAGAAATTCAATACATTGAAATAGTACTGGATTTTCTAACAAAAAAATAAGATTTATATATAAATAATTTTCTTGATGGATCTTATGATAGATCTTATGTTATGAGAGAGATATGAGTAAAGCTACATGTATATATACTTAATATTTCTCTAATCAATTAATTAACCATGATCTCTTTGAAACATTAATTTTTTATAGGCGTTTATATATGATTGGTTGGCTTGACAACTCAAGATTCTTAATTGTCGAAGTTAGAATCATATATAGTTATAACCAGTTGAATGTGCATACAAATTAGATAGAATATGTGAAATTATTTAAAAAAATTGTTTTAGTTTAATAGTTGTTGTCATGTAGCAAGTCTACTAAAATATATTGAAATCATAGGGAAAAAAATTCACCTAACTTCATGATTTTTTAATTAAAATTTTGTACTTAAGTAATTATTTCTTATGTTTTTCATAACGGATTTCCTTATTTAAAAAAAAAATTGATTTTTTTTCTCTATATATGGATTTTTTAAAAAAAAATTGTAATAGTCAAAAGAGTAAGCTTTAATTAATTGGAAATCCAAAAAAATATATAAATGTAATTTTTTTTCATAAGATTGAATGAAAAAATAAAGCAACAATCAATCTAGAAAAAATTGCATAAAAATAAATAAATTTAAAATAAAATTTTACCTTTGTTGAATATTAATGAGAAAATTAATTTTTGAAAATATTTAAATTATATATATAATAAAGCAATATAAAAAATTGACCATCTATCATAAAATTTAAGTTTTTTTGAATGAAATCAATACTCGATAATTAAATTCAATATGCTAATAGATCCTCAAAAAGATCTAACAATCCAACATAAATTTTAAAACCCAAATCAATTGATAATCCAAGAAATATATTTCAAATGAGGAAGAGCGTTATAGAAACTTTCACATATTGAATAAATACAAGAACAACAAAGCAATTAATATAAAAGATTGAGAATAAATCACGAACTATATATAAGACTAGAGAACCCGGACTCAACTGTAATTTAATCAAGTGATTTTTAAAATATTTGACACTTTAGTCCTTGACAACATAAATATTTATTCAATAAATTTCTATCTATAAAAAATAATAGCCAAACTGAAAAGCAACTTGATGAAAAAAATAAAATAAAAAACACGAGCCAGTTGTAAGGGCAATCATTTGAACTTTTTTTAAAAAATATTAATATTAAAATTATTTTCCTCTTCACATGTATCTTTCCTTTTTATTATTTTATTTTAATGACTACTGTTTAAATACATTTCTAAAACTATTTTCAATATATTATTTTCTCTCTTTAAGGAACAATACTTGTAATTAAAATTATACTCAAATTTAATGCAAATATCTAAAAAAATGTACAAAATATTAGGAGTAAAATGCATTACTTAAGATAATCAATTTTAAATTAACATATATTTTTTTAATCTCATTTGAATATGTAATTGTACTTGACAATTTATAAATTTAATGAATATAAATTGATTTTTTTATAGAATAAGTACGTCAATTTTAAATTAAAATAATAAAATACTCGATTCCATGCACCTCCATATATATATATATATATACACACACACTTGTAGATTTAAAAATTAATTAAAAAATTTGGAAGTTGCTACCGGTACCAGGCAATTCTAATGATCATCAAGAATGACATGATTAACTCTCCATTTTCTTTCTGGGAATCCTACCAATAAGTAGACCGATTTTTGTGGCTCTCCATGTTGCCGTTTAACATGGGGTAGTTGACATGCATGAAGAAACTAATTAATAAATAATGCAAATTTGCCTGCCTTTCTTCTTGGTCCTAGCAGTGGGATCGCTTCAACTTGTAGTCTTGGTAAAAACCCCACTGTCAACAGTATACCAAAGCCTGAATTTCTTGATGCAGCATCAACCCAGAAATCTTCCAACATAACCTGTACCGAATTTGTTAAAGAAGCCATTAAGTAATGCAGTACCTGAGGGATTGGTCTAATGGTTAAAGGGATGAGCTTTTCTCTTTTTCGCAATCAAGATTCAAATCTCAAACCGTGCTATGAGAAGCATAGTTTTTATAGAGTGACAGATTTAGTCTCGACATAGTACGAGGATGTCTTTAATAATAAAATAAAATAAAAAGTACATTTCTCTTAAAAGTAGAGAAGCAGAAGGTGTTAAAGTGCTGACCTCTTTATGTTCATTAGTGACAGCATCTCTTCCTAAGATTCCATTTGCACAGGACACGATAATTGGAGTTTTGGAACCAAGTTTTGCTGCTAACTGCAACATAAACCATACAAACATTAGCATAACAAGAAAAAGAAAACAAAGAAAAGAGCTAGAAGAACATGTTTTAACTGATGAAAAATCTTACAAAATCGAGTGTTTCACTCAAATCAACTTCACTCCCAATAACATTTGCAATAGCAAACTGGGGTCTGATTGGCTCGGAGAGAACCTTATCGAAAACCTCTTCTAATGCAGCCTGTTTGATCATCGTCAAAACACACAAAAACTCATCAATTCAAGTGGTTAGAGACTTTACAGTCAAAACTTAATTACCATCTGTACGTACTGCGTTTTTTAAAAGGACCCAACAAACCTTGTGGTCAGGATTGAGAGAAAAAGCAGAGGCAAGCTTTGGTTTGGAGAGGATTTGATTGCAAGTTTGGTTCCATGATTTGCTAACACAAGCTGCCGATGCAAAGGATGGAGCTGGCGTTCTCGTTAGAATGTTTTGAATAAGGTCTTCGTTTATGGATGCAAAGCCTGTAAATGGTGTTTTGGGTTCCTTGGGTTTCCTTTCCATTATTGATAGATATCAGAAGTATCGGTGCAACCTCAACCTTACAGTGAGGGCTTAATTTATGGAGAGCCTCAAAAGGAAGTCAAATACTTTACTAACAGTGAACTTTCCGACAAAAAAAATAGCTTGAAAGGGACTGGAGTGGTCAGCAGCCGCGTAAGACGAAAGGGCACCGACTGCATTCACCTAATACTATATAGAGTTGACCTTTTTTTTATGACAAAGAACAAACTATAGGTGATTCGATTTTAGGAAGAAAAAAAAACCACTTTTGAAAATTAAATTGGAATACTTGAACACGACTTATAGACGACAAAAATAAGTACTGAAGTTAGGATTTCTGGGACTATGATCACATGCATGGTGTATATTATTTCAAACTTGAGCAGTAAATGGCGGCATTCAATACCGATCGTCATTAAATTGGACTTTTACTGCTCAGAATAGACTGTTGTAAGATTAGAAAGTCGTTCGAAATAATGCAGACATATAAGGAATTAGTAAGTTCTGATCCTTTCAATTCAATTACGTAATGATGAGGCTAAGTCAATATCAGAAATAGTTCATACTTAGTTTGGACTTCAAATTGAGGATGAGAAGACAAGAGCATGAAAGATTTGACAATTAGGATAGTTTTGCGGATGGATCATTTAAGGTTGCATGCAAGAAGATGATCAAAAGATTTGACAATTAGGATTCTGTTTATTGGAAGAAAAGTTATTTCGAATTTAATGGCAGAGAGGTGGAATTTACATGCTGAAAATTCAGGTTCAATATCACCATCCTCGTCCTTGACCCTCCTCCTTTAAGGAGTGGCCCTCCCTTGTTCAGAAATGGTTTAATGATATTTTTTTTATACTTGAATTATGGAGGTTGTGACATATTAAGATATGCGTTATCAATTTTGATCAACCTTGTATTTGAACTATCATTTTTTGAATAAATATTATCCTAACGTTTAATTTGATTGTTATTATTGATCAAAATTCTTTTAAATAATTGGTTTTAAAAAAAAAAACTAATTAATTTTTTTTAAAAAATAAAAAGCTAATTTATAACTAACTCTTTTAATTTTATTATACTTGGTATTTTTTAACTGAAAAAAAAAGTTGTTTGATTTGGGATTGAAATGATTTTATTAATGGCTTAATTAGGTTAAGAATGAGATGTAAGAGGAGAAAAGAATGGGAAAAACGAGGCAATAACAAGTTTAAAAAGTAAATTATAAATTAGTCTTTCTATTTTCGAGAAACAAATTAACTAGTTCCTCTCACATTTTAAAAATTAATTATTTAATTATTTAACTAAGATTAACAACACTTGGTTTAATATTATTTTATTAAAAGAATTATACTTTCTCATCAATCTTTTTATATTTTTTTATTAATTTTTAAAACAAAAGGTAAAAATAAATGGAAGAGGAATGAAAAGAAGTAAGTTACAATAAAATTCAAAAATTAAAAACTAAATAATTATTTTTTTTATAAAAAAAACTAATTAATCCGTTTTTTGAAACTAGAGGATTAATTTATAATTTGCTCCAAATTTAAAGGTAATTGGTACAAACACCTTCTAAATTATTGATCAACGAAATCTAAATTTCTGATATTTCGATTTCTTTTTATTTTAATTCTTCATACTACAATGTAAAGCTTATGTTATGTTTAATAATTTAAGGACTGTTTGTACCAATTAGAATAAGTTTAATGGTTTTTTTTTTCAAGTATATATGATTATAAAGGATTTGTTGGAAATAAACACAAATTTTTTTTGCAGTTTTGTGCAATTTGGAAGAATCAATTTTCCTTTCCCTTCTATAGTGGCACCCTTCTTTGCTCTAAGACAACAATGGTGGGACTCCATCCTGAAAGATTTTATTACTTTCCACATGCACCCAAAAGATATTTTTGCATAAAATACCCAAGGCAAAACTGCAGGGAGTAAATTATAAATTAGTACTTCTAGTTTGGAAAAATAAATTAATTAGTCTCTATTCTTTTAAAAATTAATTTTAATTTTGTCCTATTTCGGTTCTTTTCTAATTTATTTTCTTTAAATAAATAGATTTTATGAAAATAATTGATGACAAAAGCATATATATTTTAGAATAAATTAATATTAAATTAAGTGTGATCAATATTGATCAGTGGACTAAATAATTAGGTTTTGAAACAAAAAAGATTAATTTATTTATTTTTCAAAACTAAAGGGACTAATTTATAATTTACTCAAGCTGAGGGAGATGGGATATTTCTTGCTTCGTGGTCTGGTCTCAACCTGAGCTTGAAGAAACAACACAAATAACAGAACCCTAAATCTTCACTTCTCGGAGAAAAACTAAGTATTGTATCATTAAGCATGGAATCCTCTTCAGTTCTGTCACTCTATCAGCTCTCCTTTTTCCTACCAAAACCCAACAGAAACAAAGCTTATCCTTCCTGGCCATGCAGAAAATTACCAACCACTCGACCAACTCGCTTATACTGCCAAAAGATGTATGTCCCTGGTGGGTTATCACGCAGAGAATGATCTTTGTGTTTCCTCCTGTTTTATAGGGTTTGATTGTTTGATGTACGTGTTTAGGGTTTGGAGAAGCATCACCAGAGAAAAAGGCAGCAAAAAACCTGCATGATTTCTTCACTTACATTGCTGTTAGAATCGTCGCTGCACAGCTTCAGGTTCCTCCTTTCCTTGCTTCATTTTTCTGCTGTTACCTTATGATTGTTTGTTTCGATGATTTCTTTCTGTTAACAACTATTTCCCAGAACAGAGCTATAACCCTGAGGCCTATCAAGAGCTGATGGAATTTTTGGATAGGCATTCCTTGAACGATGGAGACAAATTTTGTTCTGAATTGATGAGGGAATCTTCTAGGCACAAGGGTTTGGGTAATGCTAACCACACATCTCTATTTGGTTCTTATCTTCTATTTCTGTTCTTTTTTCTTGCTCTCTAACATCTCATCTTTCTTTCTTTTTTCCCAAAAACCTGCCCAAATTACAGCTTTGCGAATCATAGAGGTCAGCATCCTATTTGTTAATCTTCACATTTTCATTTTTCATCCAGAAATGCTAAGCAAGCAGTGACCTAAACTTGTGGTATGTTAATGTAGGTTCGATCTGCATACTGTAAGGATGATTTTGAATGGGACAACTTGAAGAGATTAGCAGTCAAGGTTAGAATTCAGCTCTAATGTTTCTGATGCTTCTTATTGATAAACGATAGGGGATAGTTTCTCATTTTTAGTGGTTCTGTTGCCTTTTTTTTAACAGATGGTAGATGAATCAAACACAAGGCTCATGAGAGATTATGTTGTAGAAACAAGCCATAATGTAGAAAGTGAGAAGTGACAAATCGGTGCACCAGCTCTTGTATCTGTCTGAATCCAGTGCTCTCGGCCTTGTAAACCATAGACCTCTGTTATGAAATAGAAAATACTCAACCAACACAGTGTCCTTCCGATATGAGCTATTTTTGGCCATTCTCAAATGGTCAAAGTTCCAATGTTCAATCGCAGAACGGAACGGGGTTCGATGCCAAATAGTTGTAATATACAAACATTAAGAGTTATTTAGTGAAGAGTACACTAAAGATCTTTTTATTGTAATGCTTTCTGGTGTTCAATCTGTGTACATTGTAGACAGTTTTACTTGAAAAAAATATACAGAGGTACAGAAATGCAGAAAGTGAAAGAACAACATAAATGTGTTCCATCGAATCTGGAACAGAGTATGGCATCTTCTCGAGCCTTATTTGATAAAAGCTCATCCAAGACCATAAATTGAGCTGGACATGCCGTCCTTCCTTTGTACAAGTTCTTAATAATCTACAAATGCAAGATCTAGCTAAACTGGAAGCAAAATTATGCACTGCATGTTTATCCTGCAAAGCTAAGCTGTGGTTGCCTCATGTTCCTTCTGTGGCTGCAAACAACAGCCAAATAAGAGGTCGGAAAGCAAAAGAAAGGGTGGGTTGTTGTTTTTCGAATGCTCAAGAGGAGTCCATGATTGACTAACTCATGCATCGAAAATGCAGAATCATGCTATATATGGAAGACAGGTTACCTTGATATGGCGGCGAATATCACTTGAAGCATGTATATGCCCATTGCTGAAATATGATTGAGCATATTCTTCTATGTGCTCCACCCTGCAAGTCATTTTCAATATATCATGTCATCTAAGGTTGAAACTTATGTGGAATCAAACCTTTTAGGCCACAAATCGATCAAAAAAAGGGTCAAGAATTATCCATTCCTGCTTTAGCAAAGCTAAATAAAGATGAGAAGCATAGGCAGAAAAATTAACAAGGCAAGCTGCTGTTATTGGTTTAATTAAGGGGTAGGTCTTCTAGGCAAAAGCTGAACGGACACAGGATACGGGTAATGAAATGATACGGATAAGTTGACACTTCAGATTCTTGAAAATTTAGGATGTGTTATACGTCATGGATAGGGTACTAAAAAGTATATGTTTCATATATTGAAGATGTAAATGATAAATATCAAAATACTTATTCAAAATAAACACAACTATTTAAAATACAGCGAACTACAAATTAGTTTAAAGTACACCGATAATATTCATAAATTATCATCCATCTATATTAAATTACATTAGTTTAATATTGTAAAATTCAAATATACAGAACTATTAAAAGAAATTATTATTTCCAATAGTAAGAATAATTGAAATTGCACTAAAGAAGTATCCATGAGGTACTGGATGCATCTATAGAAGCATTTTTTAAGCATCCCAATATCCACCAAAAAAAAAAATTACCATTTATAAATTTTGGATACGCTTTAGAAGTATTTGATATGTATCTAGAAGTATTGGGTCATGTATCAAATTACGGGCTCAATATGGATACAAGAGGGATTTTGAAGTATCCCTGCATCAAAGTTTGGATCTAATCAATCCACAAGTATCATATGTATCAGCCTTTCCTTTGGTGAATCATGCACAATCTAAAAATAATGTTGGTTTTGTGAAGAGAGTCACCTGTAAACATAGTTCACCATGATACCTCCACTTTGACGAAGTCCTTTCTCCGACCGGTCTGCCATCCAATTTAATCTTTCAACCATCTGTTCCACGTTGAAATACATGGCATTAGTATAAAAAAGTTTTCAACTTGGAAATCATTTTGTTTCTAAGCTTTCCAACTTTCAGATCATTAACCACTTAAAATCACCAGGAAGCATGTTCAAACTCTCATCTGCAGGCATCTAAATCGACTCATGATGAAACAATTAAGCTTCTAAATCGACTCATGAAGAAACAATTAAACCAATATATAATACATTGAGAAACCATATGGGGTCTGCCAGTTGATGTGATTGCTAAAAGTGATGAGATCTGCTAATTGACAAAATTAAGGTAAATATGATATACCGCTCCATTTTGCAAGTGGAAATTTGCCACGGAATCTAGAGCTTTTCCTCTCTTCTTCTCTTGGAGAAGATACCTATATTCACATAACCAACATCTATAAATAGCATTTCACAAAATGAAAAAGTTAAAGCTTTATGCAACACCAGAGCTGAGAAATATAAGGTCATTTCCACCACACCCAGTTATTAGACATATGTGTCACTGACTACACACAACCTATCATTTCAATGGAAGAAAATGGAACAACATTATGAATAGATGTTCCTTGTACCTAAGGCAGAGAAAGTTATAATTTCAATCGATATCATGCGTTGCCTCAAGTGCAATGCCTCATGACAATTTGGTTTGTTACACATTTTCAATTAGAAATATAAACTATTGAGGGGGTTTCAAACCCCTGAACAGCAGTTTCATTAGACTTAAATGTTAAAGTTCTCTTACCTGGCACACAGCCGCATTAGAGGGGGCTTCAAGGCAGAAAGTAATTCAGCTGAACTGATCCACTCATAGTCTGTTGATGTCAGCAAGTTCAGCATCACTTCCATGCCATTTTTTCCAGCATAAGTCTCCCTACAGATCAAAGTGTGTTATCCATCCTACAGCAATGCTGTGATGTAAGTTTTTAACTAGTCACATTTTTAAGAACATAAGAGAAGCGACTGGAGATACTACAATGAGACAATCATATCATGGTGATTGGTCCAAGAGAACCTCAGGTGAGTTCGTGTACAAAAGCACTATAATTTTGAGGAAAGCAAAGAGCATCAAGGATCATGTATCCATATTTTGTAGGCTGGAAACTGGACCTTCCAACTTTCAATGTGGTTCAATGAGGTACTAACAGCTTCTTTCAACACAAAACCACTATTGTCTATAACATAATTCAGGTGACAGAGGGTTAAGATCATCCTGAACTATCTGATTATTGGCATATTTGCACAATCTGTGCATATGAGTTTTCTGTAATGGGAAAAAACAACTAAAAGCAATTTAGAACCTACATTGGTAAAAGAAGTTTAAGGCTGTCCAGGATCTGCTTCAGTTGGAAACTAGCAAGATCATGATGGTGAAATAGTGAAGATCTAAGATGAAAAAATTAGTTGCTGGATGAGGAAATAAGTTGTCTAAAATGTGTTAGGATGGTAAAAAAAAAAATGTAGGAAGGGCTTAGAAAAGAGTGATGCTTTGAGTATGATCTACAAGCAAGAAAAAAAATGAAACTTTGGAAGCATCCTGTGGGAGAGACTTTTTTTTGTATTAAAAGAATGTTATTCCATTATTGGGGAAAAAAATCATTTAAGGTTCCAGACTCTCTCAAGGATAAGAACTGCAGAATAATCAAAACTCAAAAGAGACAAATAACGAATAGAAACATACGGAGCAGAATTCATAAGCATTCCTTCTTCATCTGGTTCAAGTAAGTTCTCCTGAAAAGTGGAACCAGATCCACCTGTTGGTTGCTCCATGTTGTCTGCTTTAGCAATTACTGATTGAGATGCCAACTTAGATAGCAACCATTGCATGTATCCAGGGATTGGGCTTAGTGTTCCAAATGTCTTCATACAATAAATGAAAAACATTAGCAGAATAATAGAATGCCACAAGACTTGACTTTATTTAACCATGGCAATCCAGAATATGCAAAGATTAAGAACAACTTCTTCATTTCCAATAAAGCAATTAATACCAAATGACTTTGAACGATGTGGAAAAAGTAGGCTTGACACCAGGAACATATACTACATATGTCAAAGAAAAATGCACTTCATTCTTCAATCTAATGAAGCAACAAGGCTTACAGGAAAGTTAGTTTAATAAAGATACCGATTTTATAATTTTATGAGAATGAAAGTGAAAAAAATACTTACAGATACTCGTGGCATATCTCTTTTCACCAATGTAATAACGCGTTTAATAAGAAACTTCCCTAGATTGATTCCTGCCAAGCCAGGCTGTCAACTTTCTGTAAGTATGTAATCAGGTAAAAAGGAAGCAAATAATCGAAGTTTGTTGTTCAACACAGTGCTATGGATAACAATAGATATCACCAGTAAATACTCATGCACACTGAAAAACACTTATAAAAGTTACAACCATCATGTCTATATATGCATCAGCAAAAGGCACATATGGTTAGAAAAAAACAAAAAACAAGCAACTGCTATATGACGCATCAGTGGATAAGAAGAAGAAGAAGAAGAAGCTTCCTTACAAGAACAGGATGGATATGAAATAATGCAGTTGCTCTCACCAAAGATATTCTGAGAAGTATAGCTCAACTAAAGGCAAAGGCTCAGGCAACAAGAGAGCAGAAATACATGGTGTGGTAGGGTATTAGACTTTGACAATCCTAATTGATAATCAACCATCACATGGCATGTGGCAGACCAAATTTGTGCAACCAAACATGCCTTCAATCTGAAACCAAAAGATAATAGGCAGAAGTAACTATTCTCACCTGAGTTGATGATATAGAATAAAATAATGCACATGCAGCCTCAGTTTCAGGTATGGGAGGATCATCCCACAAAACTTCCTGTTAGAGTTTAAGAAATTGTCAGCAATAAACAAAAATAAAATAGAAATTTCAGTTTGTGAAACAAACCTGTATTGTCTGAGCCACATTCTTCAGAAGCGCAACTTCTATGAAAATAAGAGGCTCACCTAAAAGAATTTCAGAATTTAGACCACAGAAAATGAATAGTTAAATATTCTTTTTAAAATAAAAAATAAAAAATCCAGAAGCAAGCTATAACTCCAATTCAAAATTTGTTAAGCTAGTCTGTGATTTCTGGTAAACATTTTCATGATTTGCTTATGATATATTCAAGAACTTAACCCAATGAATGCGCTCCAAATTTACTGATAAAGAGGCTAATCAACGCTATTTTCGTTTGGCAGGTATCTGCCTTTCTTGCATTGGTAAGGTTAATCTCCATTAAAACATTCACAGTGACATGTGCAGGATATGAAACAGTTTATCGCACATTTAATATCATATGTCAATTTGAACAGAAGCCAAATAATTGCACTAAGGCTTTAAGGTACTAACTTTCTATCACATGTATCAATAAATTGACCAAATGATTCGGGAAAATGATAAATGAATTGCAATGTCCACACAAGCAGTGAGAAGATTTGCTAACCAGGTATTGCTGGATGTAAATATCCAAAACAACGGCGGCCAACGCCCAACCTTCTTTTTAGATCCAAAAGATTGCTGATTGGATGCACTGCCTGGACGAAACAGCACAATTAGAAAATACACAACCCACACAAGGAAACAATAACATCCATGAGTAGTGCATGACAGGTTAAATAAACATACCTCATAAGTAACAATTTTCTCCAGCAGAGAAGCAGAATCATCCCACGTAATCTGGTGAAGCTCCAACGCCACTGGACTAAGCCATGTACTAAGTTGCTCCTTTAAGCAGGAATCTAATGCTCGCAAAGAGGCAATATTTTCCTCTCTGCACACAAAGAATCAATTGATGAAATTCTGAATTCCATCGCCGTATATTGCAATTGTTATACCACTAACTTAGCATATATTAAAAGTTAAACCAGCAACGATCAGCAAAAGTTCTCTAAGGAAAAAAAAAATTATGCATTCTAACTGTCACTTAATTTGCAAGACATTGTACAAAGAACCATTTCATTGGATGGAGAAAGGAATTGGTACGAACTGATGCAAGTACAACATAAATGCATCTAGAGGTAGAAGCTGCAACACTCTTACAACAGTGTTTGAGGCTACTTCTATGCACAGAGATCTAAAAACTCAAAAGGCAATTCAAATGAGAAGCAAAGGTATTGAGGTTGGTAAACAAACTCTCCATTCCATTTTTCCATAAAAGTTTCGAATAAATATATATTTCCAATGACACAAGCCATACTGAAAAGATCAAAATGAGAACAGAAAATTCATGCAAATATGCCAAAAAATAAATAAATAACCTGTACTTGAGAAAAGACAAGATATCAGCTCGAAGATCCGACAAGAACTTCAAGCCCCCAGTATGGTTATTAAGTCTTTCAAAAAGAACATTGTACATCGGCTTAAGAGCTTGTCTCAAGTTTCTCTCAATCCGATAGAAAGCAGAAAGATCGCCGCTCGTCATCAACATTACTCAATTCACCTTCATTACCTGAAACCCAAAACATCTACATCCCTCAATCTGAAAAAAAAAAACCTCAATACTAACATGGCAGCAGTAATGCATCCAACAAAAACCTCACCACTACGAAGCTCAAATCCAAGATATTGCTTCAATAATTCCCGAACTTGAATCCGATTAAGATCATACTCTTTCGCAAGCACGAGCAACAATTTCTTCCGATTTTCATACGAAAGACTAAAATAACCCTAAAAATCACAATTTACATCATCAAATCAGTACTTAACCAGTAAATTAATTACAAAATTTCCTAATTTCATATATCTATATCTACCTCGGAGAAATCATCAAGTACGACATCCAAAGATTCAGTTTTGTTCAGCGATATAGCCAAGCCCATGGAATCCTTTACTATATCAAAATTCCTATAAAACCACAGTAATAATATAATTAAAAAAACAATAATTAATACCTTTAAAAATGTTTAATTTATAAAAAATAAAATAAAATAAAACAATCAAATCCCAATAAAAATAATTAAAAAAAAAAACAACAACTAACTTAATAAATAAATAAATAAGACCTCTCATTATGATTCCCAGAAACACTGAAGTTGCTGCTTGAATCCATTGCAGACCGTTGATTTCTTGGAGGATTACTCATCATTTGATTATTCCCATTCTGTTTTTGAGACAAACATATTAATATTTGCAATACTTAACGATAATTTAAAAAAAAATCTCAAAAAACTGAGATAAATCAAAAGAAAAAATCACAGTACTTACAGAGAGAGAAGGAGAGAAAGAAGAAAGCTTTGATGGGTCATTATTGGGTCTCATTTTTCTTCTCATTAAAATCGATAGTCCTTTCTTGTTCATTTATAATTATAATTACACTTTATTTTTTCTAAATTTCAGTGTTATTATATTTTCATTCATTTTCTTTTTGCGAAAGTTGAGGTTTCTCTTTCGCTTCTGTCTGTGAATGGCGTTGGGCAAGACATTGATGTCCACGAACGAACCTTACTTTACTCGTCTCCGCATCTTAATCGTACAAAAATGGAAATAGTTACTTTTGATCCTCATACTTGTTTCATTTGGTCAAATAAGACCTTGTTACGTTATTTTGTTCAAATTTAATTTTACAAGATTATGTAAAGGCGATTTTAAACTCTCTATTTACGATGCTTCTTTCAAGACTAATGTTAGAAAGAAATTATTATATTTTGTATTCATTATTCTCTTAAGTAGCTCATATTTACATAAAAAAAAGATATTCATATGATTATTTACATAATTCGGGCTTCCAAGTAAATTTATAAAACCATGATTATTTAATAGTTTCTCGATGTCTGGAATCCAATTGTATCCTTTTATGGAAATAGTTATAAATGCAATAAGAGAAAAAAAAACATATAGGAACAGTCACATTAAAAAAACCTATGAGCTTTTCATCGAATATTTTTTTCGTTGTGATATATTCGATAAAACGTGTCATTTTACAAAACCCATGAGTTTTCGTTATGAATGATACATATACACATAATTCTCTTATTAACCCAATAGTAGATTGAAACAAAAACTTAAGTGCAGGATCATGTTCGAAACATAGATAGACTGACAAATATGTACCATTAGGAAACATCCTACTAGAGAAATCGAATCAATTATAACTTTAAAAATTATATTAATTTCCACCAATAAAAAAAGACAAAGCATACATCTAATAAGCGAGGACATGCTTTCCAAACTATTTTTGTCTAATTTACACAAAAAAAAATGACATCAATAACATTTCTCTATCTAACTACTATTCAAGTTTGTTAGCAACAAAGAAATGGATTATTCTATCTCTTCCTTCATGCAACTTGACGAGGTTTTTAGTTATGTAAACGATTAAAATACCTAAAGTTAAGATTCATGAATCACTCATACCTCAATTATTGTTCACCTTCTTCCTCACACATACATCATAGCCTTATTTTGCTAATCTTTTTTTCTTTTTTTTCTTATACTAATTTGATCACAAGATGATCCTACAATCAATCGAAGCATCTTTTTGCAAGTATATCTTTCAGGATCATCACCATCTATTAGCAAAAGCTTTGTCATCCCATCAAAACACCATTAAAAAAGCCACATCACTTTTAAAGGTTCTACAACCTCGTCACATTGTACGCTGACAAAGAAGCTCCAAAAGTTTATTGTTGGAAACTCAATCTCCAATCCTTCAAAATGAGAAGAAAAGAAAAGGACAGATATTTTTAGTAGATTTAAATTGCTTGCTGGTTAGGCACCGGTTTGTGTGTTGTACTGATGGGCCAGTTCATCTTTTACTTAGTCGACACACATGGCATCCGTATTTAAACTTGGGCCACATACGGGCCGCCCAGGTTGTGGCCATTCTGAATCTGTGTGAATTTAATGTTCGAAAATCTCATAGATTCGATGCAAAGTACATGGGCCACACCATTTAATTTTCTTGCAGAAACAATCTTCGACCTAATTGCTAATTAATGAGACTTTCAGTTTACTGTCATTGGTAAATGGAAATGTTCCACGTAATGATTTAAGGTTCGATTCTTATTGGATTATGCAAGAAGACAATTCCTTGTCAACCAATTGGATATGGATGGCAAGCTTAAGATCTAAATTGGTGAAAATTTAGTATTGGTATATGAAAATTGATTAAAAAATATCATTATCGTGAAGAAAAAAATCTAAATTTATCGTCATCGAAAAGATTAGTTTGGTTGGAAGTCTGTGTGTTCTTCGTATCATCATCTATCATCGATTTAAATATGGATGGTCGGTTTAAGATTCAATCATAAAAAGACTTAATTTTAATATCTAAGGCTTCGTTTGTTTGACGAAAAACAACTTTCAATAGGAAAAGCAATTATAAAGAAGTTATTTTTCAAGATAATGTTTGTTTTAGCTCGAAAGTCACTTTCTAAAAAATAATTCATTGATTTTTGTTGATTAGAAATCAAATTCTGTTGACTTTTTTCCTAAATGCGAAATAAATATCAAAAAATGAGAAAAACAAATTCTTAAAACTCATTTTTTTCAAAATAAATAGAGTCTAGGGATAGTTTGCTCATCATCCATGCATGGCATTAATTAGTGCATAACGTTTTTAGTGCCTCATTTTTTAATCTTATTATTATTATTATTATTATTATTATTTGTCAAGTTCATTGATTAATTCTCAAAATTTATCCCACTAATTAAATTAAACTTTGCTCAGCCATGAAGCAATACATTGGCCAACGTGCTCCACGTCTTTTTGATAATTCCGACGGTGATTCATGGTTAAATAATTAATTTTTACTAATTAATTGTATTCTATATTAATTAACAAGAAAATGTTTTGTGGACAGCTTTTTTTCTAGCAAAGAGTATGGCGCTCATGTGTTCTACTACTGTTTATGCATATCTTAATTATAATTCAAGAAAATGACAAAAACTAGGTGGATTTTCGACAACTGGTAGGATTCTTTGCCTCCTATCTTCTTGCATTAAAAAAGACTTGAACAGTATAAAGTTATTTGTCACTTTAATTATGCCCTTTTAGTAGTTTATAGAATAGTTTCAAGTTCAGCCAGCTTTGCTAACAATTCCTGGGGTAAATGATTGAAACATTTTTCTCAACTTTAATTTATCTAAAGATTGATTTTTTAATTTTGGGTTGAACTCTTTTTTAACTATTAGGTTTTCATTGATTCTAATTATAAAAATATAAATAACTTACACGTGGTTAACTTTTTAATTTCTTCAATCGTTTAAAATAAGTTAAACTTATGAATATTTTGTTTTTCTCGACAAAACTTGTTTATTTCCTTTTATAGTGCTTTAAATTGCTTACTTCTTAGTACTTCCAAGAAAAAAGAAACAAATTTTAAAGGAAAAACAGATCATTTAGAAGTTTTGGTTTGTTTTTAATTATTAAAAAATTATACTTACATGTTAGAATTGATAAAAATTTAATAAAATAATCTAATTTTAAATAAAAAATAATTATAAAAAAAACATCGATTAGAAATTAAAAGCTGAAAAATTGGTTCTCAATTTATGAAATGTTTGTACCATTTGGAAAAATTGATTCTAATTATAAAAATATAACTAACTTATACGTGATTAACTTTTTAACTTCTTCGACCGTTAAAAATAAGTCAAAACTTATGAATATTTTGTTTTTTTCAACAAAACTTGTTTATTTCCTTTTATAGTGCTTTAAATTGCTTACTTCTTAGTACTTCCAAGAAAAAAAACAAATTTTAAAGAAAAAACAGATCATCTAGAAGTTTTGGTTTGTTTTTAATTATTAAAAAATTATACTTACATGTTTGAATTGATAAAAATTTAATAAAATAATCTAATTTTAAATAAAAATAATTATAAAAAAAAACATCGATTAGAAATTAAAAGCTGAAAAATTGGTTCTCAATTTATGAAATGTTTATACCATTTGGAAAAATGTCTCAAGTGATCATTACTAGTTGGTGTCGGTATCTCAATCACCCCACTTTGAAAAATCGGGGGATCAAGTTAAATGTGCATAATATGAATTATTTTTATGTCATTCTCATCATCAAAAAGCTTAAACGTCCAATTTGTTTGCTTTATCACCGTCCAAACCGTTGAAGACAATGAGTTTCCACATCTTTTTTCAATTGTGTGGTGGAAATTGGATAGAAATTAATCACCGACAGCAGGGCTTAATTTCTTCCACTATTTCTTATCATGATTTTCCAATTACTGTTTTTGTTTTGTAATGAAAAAATGGATGCACAAATATACTAGTGATTTGTTTGGAGAAGATATTTTGTTTTTCTCACCGACATGTATTTGTAGAGATTTCCATGGTATCTATGTCGGAGATCAAAATTTATTCATAAATAAAGTTAATCATACATAAATATGTCATTTTTTAAGAAATTAATAATGAAAAATCAAATTTAAAGTTTATTCAATTTCAAATAAATTAAAGTGGAGAAGAGTTTTGACGTTTTTAGGTAATAAGTTATAAATTATTGGGCAATTTCATGACTTGAAATGTTGTATATTTGTTGTCACATGCAACAAATTAATACATTGTTTCCCAAACTGGCTAATTAAAACTTTGATATGTGCCTTAAGCCTGCTAATATGTGTAGTAATGTGGTTATATGCATGTGACTGCATTTTGATTTCATGGGTTCAAAATTTTAAATAACGATCATTAATTGTATTTGGTAAAATAATTAAAATAGATTGAAGATTTAACTTTTTACAATAATAATAATTATTAGAAAACTATATTAAATTATTTATCAAACCTTACGTATAATTTAAATTTTTGAGTTAAAATTATTTTTTAACATAATATCAAAGTTTTGTTGACTAAGTAATTACAAGTTTAAATCTCATTGTTTTCATTTCTATTCGTAATTAATCAAGCACGCAGTAACTTGAGCTTGTTGTGTCTTTAAGTTTTTGGGTTGAGATGGTCTTTTTGACAATAATTTTACCATACATTTTATTTATTTTATATTATATGAAAATAGTTCCTTCTAAAGAGATGACAGGGAAGACCTCCTTGGAAAAAAAAATTCTTAAGTTTTAAAAAGATTATCTTCCTTGATTTTTTAACTCATATTAAAAAATATTAATTGTTATATCATG